AAGAGAAAAAATGTTTAATTTATATACATGTATTTTAAATGCTAATCACTCGATATGGCTAGTTGTTACGCTTTATGCTACATGTACTTTGGGAAGCGGCCCAACATCTCAGCGACAGGTCCAGTATCTCAATCAGCGGTCAAACATCGATTTCTTTTATGGCTGCTCTTTAAAACATTAGAAGTTTTCTATACATTTGTATAGGATCAATTTTGAAAGGTATATCGGTATCTTTTGCAATTAGCAGCATCTAGTTTCACCACTTCCAATATTTCGCCTTCATATCTCATGAAAACGGCGCTTGTTTTTTCTGTCTTCCGATTTTTTTTCTTATAAATTCACGATATTTCAACGAATTATTACAATAATCTGTATGCATGGCCAATATCAGTAAAGATGTCTTCATGCGCACCATCGCATGTTGTCTATCCAGATATGGCCATATGTTCCAATTCACTTTCAATTTACCCTTTATGGAGGAAAGCTTTTACACTTCACGATCGCCGGAATTCGTTGATCGACTGATTGTTGAGTCAATTGATCATTGAAGTCTTTTATAACAACATGTTGACCAAGAAAATAATTGAGTTCAATACATTTGATACTTTAATGTTTACAATGAACTTTGCATGACCAAAAATCCATTAATTACGAATTCATATTTTTTTCCAGACGTAATTGTAAAACATTTTGCTTTGGAATAGGATTTATGATTAGTATTAATAATGATTTCATAGTTTTCATTGGAAAAGGCTTCCGGTATTAAAAGTACTAGTACTTTCTTTTCTTCAAACTGATGTACATATGTAGCCCTACATGTACATGTACACGAGATGATGGGTATCTACTGTTATATCCTGTTGACGGAAATTACTCAATGTAGCATAACAGGCTTCTTTAATTGATAGAATTCAAGCTTCTTCAGTTATACATGACAGTCGCTATCGTGTTCAACATCGGAAAATGTGGCTCAAACACCACAATTATGTCATTTTCCTAATTAATTACCGATTTCTGTTTCATTTCAATTCTGAATTAAATAAAGGTCTTTGATTAGAATGTGAGCGATTTCAAGTAAGTTATACGAGGGGGTAAAATCGTATATAAGTTGGACTTCTTCCTGGTAGGGGGGAAGCTTACTCTAAGGCAAGACTTCCAAAGGAAGTCTCACGATGTAAGAGTTTTCCCACTTACGAAAAGTCATTTTAATGGCTTATATCTGACTCTTAGAAACATTTCTATCATTTTTTTGGTGGGGGGATAAATTGCCGACACATACCATACAGTTGTTCTGCCTAAATCAAATGGTGACGTCTGAGCGTTTTTTAAATTATACCTGCCGAGGAATTTCTGTGCCACCCCCACCCCTGCAGTGAAATTGCTTTGTTAACCAAGAGCAATCATTTTACAAAGAGGAAAATATCTTGTTATATTTTAGAGATTTGGAAGATAAGATGCTAAATTTCAGGAACCATTTACTCATGGCTAAGTGTTTCTAACTGTAAAGTGTTACAACCCCTACTATGCTCGTCAGGGAATACTGGTGTTCGGTCTTTTGTATCGTTTACGAAATTCATGAGGTTGTTCACTCTTCGTTATCTCCATCTTTCTAATAAGAGAAGTGCCCTTGTCCGCCTATATTGTTAATAATGATAAGACCATGCAAGGTCACATTTAGTGAAGATGTAATATTCCGTTTCACTTTCATTAATGTTATGATGCGGCGATAGCTCGGGGCCACACAAGAGAATACATGGACTGGTCATTAAGAAGAGTTCAGTTTTCATTGATAAAAATAATCGATTAATTCCAATTTCATGCATTGCATATTTGTGAAACGATATTCTTTATCTAAATTTGTTTTTTATTTCTGTTGAAATATTTCCGGTCATGAATTCTAAATTCAAGCTCGAGCACTCCGATAATTTTCGATGTAGCAATTATATCTAAAGGTATTGCAAAAGTAATAGTCCCCTAACCGTATTTTGAATTATTGAAAAAGGTGAAGTCAACAAAGTGATCGATCTCAAAAAAATTAACTAACAAGACAAATATGTGAAAAGGCATAAAACAAGGACCTCTGGAAATTCCAAAGGTGGGATCATGTGCCTAGCAGAAGTAAGCATCCCCTGTTGACCGGTCATTATACCCTCCTTGAGCCCTATATTTTGATATGGTTCATATGGAACATTCTGTATTGTCAAATTCAGTATAAAACTAAAGGCATAACAAATTTATATGAAACAAGTCAACCAAAATACGATCCAACCATATATATTATATTTGCTAACAAGATCATTATAACGACGATAGGATTTACAGAATCCCGACTTTTAACGAGGTTGTTCAAATCCCTTTAACATCAACATATCTGTCAATATCTTGCCGATGTTAAAAAAATGATCATTCATACTATGTTGAAGTATTGCATAACTACTAGTACAGTGTAAACAAATACTAGTCCCAGTATTTGTTTACACTGAAATGGAAAAAGACAACGAGGTGACCGATCTCTAAAAATGTAAAATATATATTTAAACAAATTGATACAAATCTGTAAAGAAAGCATAAAACAAGGATCTTTGGAAATTCCAGAGGTGCATGGGATCAGGTGCAGAGGAGATGTTAGCTTGCCTGTTGACAGGTCACGCTCTCCGTAAGCCCTATGTATTGATAAGGTGTATGGAACATTCCATAGTCAATTCAGGATAAAACCAAAGGCCTAAAAATTGCAGGCAAGTGGCATCACACGAAACTTTTTTTTCTGTTGAAAATGTTCACCAAAAGTCTGGTGCCACCCTCCTTCAGTATTAATGTATAGGAAAAATTTGGTACTGAAAGAAGTATAAGTTTATGGGTTTCTTTTGGCTCCCTCCCCCTTCATTTGAAAAATGCTACTACACTGAATTGGCATGAAAAGGGTCAGCCAAAAACGATCCAACAATAGACTGTGTTTGCTAACTTGGTCATTATAACGACATAAGAATAATTAACGGAGTGTAGACTTTGAACGAGGTTGTTGAATTCCTTTAACATCAACTTATCTGTCAGTAGCCTGCCTATGTTTAACATTTGATCGTCCTCGAAGCATGCACTCTAGTATCGAATAAGTTGGGAGATAAGTAAGCTGGCGATGGAAAAGTCTGGATTCTCGTTTGTCATACAATTTAGTTGTTAGTTGGCCCGTATCGTGAGAGAGAGTAACTTCAGTTTGTTACTGAATCAATATATTACACCGCCAGCATTCTTTCAATATCATCTTCTCGTAATTGTCTTTAGAGCATGTTTGTGTATAATCAGAGTGTATAATCAGAGTGTATAATCAGAGTGATTTTAAACAAAGTAATTTGGTTGATGTACAATTACAGTCACTTTGTCATAATTGTCTATAATTTAAGAATAACTTTTTTTAAAAAATATGGTTATGTTTGAATGTATATGAAGATAAAAAGCAGTCAATTTTTCGGTTAAACAATGCAGATCAGGGGCAAGACAAATACTTTGGTTGAAGGTTAAAATCTCAAAGGTTATGCAGTTTTGGTTAATGTGAGTCTGGATGGAGGTAAAGTTTTTCATGTGCGATGAAGAGATTCCTCAATTGGATTTACCTCTAACAGATCTAGATGTATATCCTTACTGTGATTCTTTGTGTTTGATTGATCGTTTACGATACATGCAGCAGTTATTGAACATCAATGTTTATACACTTAAGGAACAACCTTTTCACCGGTTGAACAAACAAACATACAGTTTAGGTACCAGTAAATAGTGATGCTTGCGATTCGGCGTAGAAAGCTACAGGTGTTCTTGTTATGTTCTTTGATAATTATAGATGCTTCATCAGCATTCAGAGTATTTTTCTTGGTTTACAAAGCTAAGATCATGTGAATATTAGGTTCAGGTCACAATGTGTAGAGAAAGTGATTTTGATATTTAGTGTGGGTAGTCGGAGAAATGGTAATCAATATTTTGATAGGCACCATCGCTTGACAAATTGCAACAATAATTGTATCTTGCATCTTAACTATAAAAAAAAATTCAGAGGGAAGGACAAGACAAACATATAAGACCTCTGGATGAATTAGATGTGGTCTGTAATGTGCATTTTCACTGCGGATGGTCTTATAGAAAATATCAATACTGGTAAGTAGCCAGACGACGGTCTGTTGTAGAACCTTACTGTCGGTGTAATTCAACTGTTCAATATCCATTTGATATCAATTATGTCAAGTGTGTAATCAGAGCCATCATATCGATATGTCTGGTGTATTCAATGTTGTTTGTAACAAAATCCAACAGTGTTTTGCATTTAATTTGTATACTGTAATCGATACAATTGTTTAATAAAATTATCATTTATTCACGAAAATTAAGCAACGCACTGAAGAAGAATGTGGGAAAGGGGGAAACTCGCATCACATATGACTTAATCTAAATTTTTTGGTGAATTCTATTAAGATAAAACATCATTCATCATGAGCATCTTCAATACTTGGGTACAGGTTTCCCAGACTAGCTGTGTAGAGGTATCATCCCCTGGTGCCCTTTGTATTCAAGATGCACTAGTTATATATTAGAATACTGCCATTATTACAAGATTTTTTTTTATTTATCTTATATTTATTATTTTTTATTTCATTGTTTTTTTAATCATACTATGGTTTTTCTATACTTTTGATCCAGTGTGAGACTGTACTGTGAATATGTAACAAATCGTACATTTTCATGATGATACATCTTGGGGTATTGCACTTCTCAATGTCGAACTTAATCACTAGTCATATTACATTATACATCTATAATATGCAATTGTAATCAGTGTAATCATATTGTAATAATTTGTTCATGCCCGCCGAGGGCCCTTGATTGTTGAATAAACTCAGAATATTTACTATTACTCTGTGGTGCTGAATAGTGCAGTCATTATTAGAATGAATGTATAATGCCTCATAGTATGTAGGCTAACCGAACGTCAAATGTTAAAACTTTTTCCGAGTAATATGCACGGGCTCGAAGTTCGGAAAATTAAATCTGGTAATGACAGACCGATGCCGGTTGGATTGCACGAAAGAAGACCATGATTATGATGATATTGTAACTGCCGGGTCTGCCCAGGAAATCGTAAATGTGGTTAGTTATTAAAGCTTTTTATTTTTTATTTTTGCTATGGACTCGTTTATTCTATCACCTAATCTTAGTAAATTTCGCGAGTCTTTGACCAGTTAGCGCATACGCAAGTGCATATGACAGTTGTATGATACAGATTACTGGTCTATGATAAGAAGGGACGTTTTACATGATACTTTCTACAGCGTATTTATTTAATGTTAGTTTTTAATTTGTGAAATGAATCAAAACAACATTAGATAAAGCATATAGTCTGGATTGTGAGATTTCTCATGTTAACCAATTCTCGAAACTGATGTACCACTCATCTACTTATAAGTCGTGTAATATAGAAAGTAGACATAACTTACTTCCTCCTGTAGATACACAAGGACATTAAAATTATGAACGATATTTTATGATGCAAATATAATAGTCAAGATTAAGAGAAATGATCTATCTTAATGGTATTATTATTCAGAGCTCATTTAAACAGTTGAACAGGTTTGTGCTCAACTGCTCATTTTAACAGTTGAACGGGTTTGTGCACAAAATGAGATAACGTGACTAAATGTATAACATCATCTGCAACTCATAGAATGGGGTATCTTCTTAACAAAAGTGATGTAAGTGGGGAAAAACCCTTGTGTTACTGACAAAGAAGAAATTTGCAAGTATATGCTTTCTTCTCCTTAAATTGCAAAACTCAAATTCAGTGAGTGTATTTTTTCGGGATTTGATAAATTTTTGTTGGTACTGTCAATATTCTTAAAAGCTTGAAGACTTGAAGAATATCAATGTAATAAATAGCAGGATGGAAGACATGCAGGGTTAAAAAATGTAAATGCTTGATGATTTTGGGAAACTGATATAAATTAAAAGCTTCATGTATATGCTTTGTTTGCCAGGAAATCATGATTAATGAACAATTTGTATCAACCTCGCACGGACACAAATAATTCTTTTTTTCCTAATAATTAATTTTTTAAACATTATCTATTGACATTTGTGGTAAATAGATAAAGAAAATGAATAGATTTGAACATGTAAAGAGTGTACTCTTCTGAAAAAAGGGAAAAACAAAGATTATACATGCATGCACGTGTATGTGTTTATCGATCAGAAAATAACACATCTTATGTGTACCTTTGATTAAAAAAGTTTCTTTGAATACACCTAACATTTCATGTTTTCATTGACTCAGAGGTGGGACAAATGAGTTATTTAAAGGTTTTAACTTAAAAGGCAAAGTTTACAAGGTAAAGTATCCTGTTTTACTTCTAAATCCTTTCTATAAACATGAGTAAATAGGTCATTTGTTACAGTATTTTGTTGATGAATGATTTCATTAGTTTACCTTGAATAATGTACATTACAACTATGCTGAACATGTTAAAGGTCAGTTGAGTGGATGAAAAAGCACCATTCATTGGAAAAGTAACTCAATTCTAGTCAGAAAATGATACCAACTACTGTATTAAGATCTCAGGAAAGTATAGTCTTAATTAATACAAATTGAATTCAATGGAACACTCTATATTTTGGAAAAAAGTTATTAACTTTACATGCACTGAAGTAAATTTTAATATGATCGAGTTATGAATTCAATTACATCTACCGAATATATTAATTTCAATAACTGGACGACTACTGTAGATTCCTACTTATACGCGTGGAATTAATTATCTCGTAATTTTGCGAGAAGCACAACTCGCGAATTAAAAATACTCGCTTTTATTTTTATGGTTCTGAAATATATGTAAATTCTCTTGATCAACCGCCCTTTCGCGAATTATTATTCTCGCAATTTGACGTTGAAGAGCCAATTCGTGATAATGAGTACTAGGCTCAGTGAAAAATAAGGAATCTACAGTATAAGCTCTTACATTGCTAGAAATTCAGAAATACCTGTATCCTGTACAGCTTATACATGTGTGTATTTGAAAGTTGATTACTGTGTATATAACTAACAGATATTAATTGAGATAAGAAATATTACCATCATTTGTCAATTTATTAAGATTGAAGATATTTTTTATATTGTAAGATGAGAAGTCATTATTCATGTTATTTATGTGTATATCTGTATGATCTCCAATTAAGTTATTTAGAGGAGGTTTCTCAGTGGCTTAGGAATTATTAATCATCATATTTCCTACATCTTGAGAGAGGATTTATATTCATAGGGTAAATGAACTTAATTTAATTATATATACAGCAAATATTTTGTATCATGTGATTTAGGAAACGAATTTGCTGGTTACAATGTACTTAGGTTTCCCATAGCTTATTTCAGGAAGCAGTAATATTTTCCTCTTGCAGTAAATAATTTCATTCTTCCTACTTGACAGCTGAAAATTATATGGACAGGTGTAATTGGTTTATATTTCACTTTGATCATCACTACCTATTATAACTATGCTTCGAGCTGAAGTTGAAGATTTTCTCACAATTCTATTTCATTTTGTTCATTATACCCCCTGCAAACGAAGTTTAGGGGGGTTATTATTAGTTACATAGTCTTTTACTGACTGGGTATGGGATGATACCTGGTTAGTGAATTTCATACCTGGCGAGGCGGAGCCGAGTCAGGTATGAAATTTACTAACCAGGTATCATCCCATACCCTGTCACTAAAAGACTATGTAACGAATTTACCCCACCGATGAAACATTTATGTTTTATCTGTACTTTATTAATGGTTTTCTCTGCTAAATGCTTCATCACGCTTATACTGTGCCTATTATGACGTCATGTTTGTGTTTGTGACGTAATACATCGACCGGGTATAGATTTACAACTGACTGGGTATAAGTAATCCACCGCCTTCACGTGACAGACTTCAACCAATCGTAAGCCAGGATTTCACGGAAAAATCGACAGAGGTGGGGTAAATTGGAATCACCATGTCCGTCTGTCTAGCTGTCCGTCCGTCCGTCTGTCTGTAGACGAGATTTTGTCCTGACCATTGCTCAGAAACTATTGGAAGGATTTGTCTGAAAATTTGTACACATATTATTCACCATATGAAGGTGTGCACCTGATATTTTCATCTTGATTGGATGATTATTTTGAATTTTACAGGTGTTTTTTCATTTTTATTTTGTGGTTTTGTGCAGACCGTTTCTCAGAAACTATTGAAGGATTTATCTGAAAATTTGTACACTTATTATTCACCATATGAAGGTGTGCACCTGGAATTTTCAACTGTATTTGTTCATTTTTCTGCATTTCACAGGTTTTATTTTTTACTTTAATTGACTTGTTCATTTTGGGCTCATGTATAAGGTTTGAGATATAGAATCTAGAATATCTGTACAAAAATGTGAACTACAGCTTAAAACTACTCATTAAAACTTAAAAAAAAAGAAACATCATCAAGTGTTAAAAACAGTTTTTACATTACACAGAAGATAATGTAAATTCATTTGTCTCTTTGGAATAATGACTGGACATGCATCCAGTTAAAGATAAATTAATGAGTTTGGTGTGGGAAGTTGTTAAGGCATCTCTTTTATCTATAATCTCCTGGGAATTTGGCACAAGAATTAAAGATCTCTCTTCTCTTATTCTCTTAATTGTAATTTATTGTCTGTCAAAGCACTTCATTACTGGATGACCAGCTCTTTGTTTTCAAAATGAATTTGATATAAAGAATATCAAGATTAGTTTGATTTTGTATAGTATGATTTTTTTTTTCAACAATCACTTTGCAGAGTGTCATGACACATAATTGCAATATATCTTTTTAATGCAGAAAAAATGTTACAATGGAATTACAATATATTGGTATTGATGTTTCAATTGGTTGTACCTTTGTTTCATTCATTAAGAAACATAATGAGCAATTATATCTCACTGCAAATTTTTGTAAGTATATAAATTGTGAACACTAGATCCATAAAGTATTTGTGAATTGGCACCTTCTCTTAAAAAACCCAGTTGGACAGTTCTAGTACATGTATAATAAATACTTTATGAATATGACTACAAGTATGCATACATGAATAAAAAATACAAGTGCATATTATATATTATATGTACTGTATTATAAGCTGTGGTAATATCACCCAGCAGGACAAAAATTTTGAAACATAGGAGGGGTTTATTAATCACAAGCTGATGTTGAAACTGTAGTTATAAAAAGCTTGACACCTTTTCTGTTTAACTCCTATGTACCGAGAAGCCTCAATAACCGTCTAGCTAAAAGTGGTGATGCTACACCAGGCAAATTCTCAGTTTCCTCATTATGATCTAGTGCATAAAAAATCTAATGTTGTTCATGAATAAAACATAAACTTGATTTGATTTTCTTTATTTCAGAAAAGCAGAGATGAGGGTCATCTGTGTGTTTTTACTGCTAGGAATCTGCAGTGTTCAAGCAAGTGTTTCCTCGATAGACTCTGTCCCTTCTGTCAATGGCACCTCCAATCATACATCAAATGAAACAGAGAAAGAACATGCTGAGGGGGTGGTACTGGTCGAAATCAAGTACGAAGCGATTAAGGAGCCATTCTTCTTAACTTTGGTGGTCTTGATTGCTGGGCTAAGTAAAATTGGTAAGAAAATCATTTAGGGTCACATATAAGAGTTCATTTCTAAGGGTTCATTTAAAATTTTTTATCATAAAACACCTATTATGGCTTCCTCTTACATGTACGTGTATACATGTATATGTATTATTTTTATTTAATACAAATTTGGTCATACAGGAAACAAATATATAAAGCGATTTGATATGCATTAATTGAGTTGTATAGATAATACATGTGTACATACATGTACATATCATTGCTGCATTTTTAAAATAAATTTTTAACGGGTTTGTTTTTTCAATGCAGGATTTCACCATGCAGATGTCATATCTTCCAAGGTCCCTGAATCTTGGTAAGTATATCTCCCACTACAGGCGTATAAAAAGATTGATTTTTGTGTCTTACACAAGTTCTCTCCCTTCTTCATAATGAGTCATTTGCATGATAACTCAAGCTTAATTGGCAGGATACCCACCCACCCTTTACTTTCTCTGTCATCCCTGGTGTAAATAATTTTCTTACAGCCTTATAAGTCTGTATATCTTGAATATTTTTTATTTCCTTTTTGAGTAGCACTGTATTTAGAAAAATAGACACAGCTATTGAACTTGTAACAAAACCTTTGCTGTATTTTATATTATTGTGTAAGAAACTGTTTTATTTGTTTCAGTCTTCTCATCATATTAGGTGTCATATTTGGATCCATTTTATTCCTGTAAGTATATAGGACTGAATAATAACCCTGATAAATGTGTCTTAAATGTGTAGGATATTTTCTTGTTCCCATCCAATTCAAGATAATAAGGGTTGATTGCATGTTATAAAGCAATGGCTGTCACTGTTGGAGACAGAAAATTGTTTGTATTTTTGACATATAACAGTAATTAGGGCAGCTAATACTGGGATGCTGAGCTAATCATTATGAAGGAAAATCATAGATCTGAGAAAAACACATTTGTTTCTTAATTAATTGAATGCATGGCTTATCAAACCTAGCTGTGACAGAAGTTTATTAATAAACATTTAGTTCATCTAAAGTCAGCAATGTCTTTTTGATTCAATACTGGACCATACGGAGAAAGAAATTGTAGATTTAAGGTCTTTTTTTCTGAATAGGATTAATTTTTGCCATGTTCTCTAGCTGTCATAAAATTTCCTCAGAAATTTATCAATTAACTTCAAGCACATTTAAGCAATAAATAACAGTAATCCAAGAAAACTTTGTAATTTTCTACCAGTTGATTAAACAAAAATGTACATTTCACTGAATTATACCCCACTGGAAAAAAAATGTTTTCAGTAGTTTAATATTATGGTTTGTCTTGAACCATATTAGTCTCCTCAGAAGTCCATATGTATGGATTCAACAAGATTGGGGAAAATATACAGATATTTTTAAAATATTTTTTTATTTCAGAGGAATAGGAGCCAATGATAGTTTACCAGACTTCTTTACACCAGAGATATTCTTCCACTACCTTCTACCACCGTAAGTCTGTGTTACTGTATGTATACACTAAAGTCAACTTTAACTATGTTATATAAATACATACATGTATTCATGTTAATTAACCAAAAAAAAAAATTGTAGAATTTCACAATTCTCAGTCTTGAATAGATTATTTAAAGTTTTACTTAATTTTATGTTTATTAGTGGTGTGGATTTATTCAACCCTGAAAACAAACATAGTACATCGTAGTCAAATAAAGCTGTGTGCAAATTGAATGTTCTTCAAATGACACTTTTCATACAAATCAAGAATTCTACCATAATACTTAGGAAGCTTTCAATTTTTAGTTCACCTAAGTTGCAACCTAAAATAAGATTTTGACTTAGCTGTGTACATGCAGCTGTTAGCCTCTCCATTTTTCAACCCATGAACTTCAAATATTTTTTTACTTCTCAAGAGCCATTTGGCCAGCTTCAACCAATGATGGTTAAAGCATTCTTGGGTTAAATAGATCAGATTTATCCAAAGTAAGGGCACTATCCCCTACAAAAAAAGATGATCTAGAAAACTAAGGTAAAAATGTAGCGGGGTCTTGAAAAATCTTCAGAACCACTGTGCAAGAAAAATAAATCCTGTGTGAAAATTTTCATTAAAAATCTTCTCCAGAACAGCAGGTCCATTATTATTGTTAGCACTAAAATGCAAGCATCCTCAGATAAAACAGATTCAACGTTTTCATTTTCCCTTTCAGAATTATATTGGAGGCCTCCTTCAGCCTTTATGACAAAACATTTGCAGACAATCTAGGGAGTGTTCTCATACTTGCTGTCGTTGTAAGTTACAATATATTTGGGACCAAAACGCATCTTTTTTTTTCCAAATCAATTTTGATTACTGAGTATTACAAAAACTTGTTATATATGTTTTACATTCAAGTCAAAGAAAAAGTATGATTATTATTTGAAGGGATCTACAGTTTTATTCTTTTTGTAATAAACCTAACATTAATAAATATTCTACAAGCCACTATAAATTTGATGGTCAAAATCCCTTGCATTATATTTGTGATCATTCTGGAAATGAAGTTAATGAAGTTTTCTTTGTACTTTTTAATTTCTTTAATGATAATGATTCTTGTACTTGCCATCTAGCATTTTAAATCTTTAATCTTGTCAGTTTATGTAACTTGAAGTGGGGAGGCCGGTTGTGGGAAGGTGGGGGGGGGCTGATGAACCAAAATTAGGTCATTCAGTGTGACAATATTTTTGAATTTGTATTGTTTACATTTAGTCAGATAATATCAAGACCACATTTTGCACAATATCAGAAAAAGAATCATGCGTGTAATTAATGGCTTTTAAGTTATTTATGATCAGCCTTTTTCCAGAAAGACATATCATGTGCTTCTTAGGTGCACATTAAATTTCTGTTTCCATTATTTCAGGGCACAACAATATCATGCTTCTTTATAGGTATGTATATTCATATATCTATAAGGCCATATAAAATTGAAATCTTGGTTCTCAGGCCCGCGCGCATCCGTTTTGAGGTAGCCGCATTGCCGATTTTATTGTATTTTTGATAAAATAAAAAGTTGGTGTTGCGGAGACCAATCCGGGAAAAAAAAATTCCGACCTCATTTGTTTTGTAGTTTAGTATTCAAATATCATTTCCGGTAGTCATTTTCAGTGAGATTTTTTTGTTGAAAATATCGAGGACATTTGATGTTTATACGCTGTTAAGCAATGGATAAAGCAGAAATGACCAGAAATAGTATATCTGTGATTAAAAAAATTATCTTTATGTTAAAGAAAATTGGGAAATTAAAATTTAAAAAAATACCTCCCTCATCTACTTTACTGCCAATAAAATGAAAAATGAAATGCCACCCTCCCGCATCTGTTTTGGAGAAAATTGGCCTGAGAACCAGGGAATTAAATTTAGATAGCCTAAAATGTTGTTGCCTCATTATATGTTGCATTCATGGATATTTAATTGTCATTAAATTTTGTAAGGTTTATAATTTTTGTTAAAATGTTTGATGCTCTCTTTGCGGTATACAGGCCTGACTCTGTACGGTCTGATGATGGCTGGGGCTATGGGAGCTATATCAGAGATCCCCTTGATCCAGATACTGGTCTTCTCCTCCCTTATAGTAGCTGTGGACCCAGTGGCAGTCAGTATTATCGGATCCTGTCATTCATTTTTGCCATTTTTATCAATGATATTGTTTATAACTGAGTAATTATCTTCATGTACATGTATATTGACACTGTTATTAGACATACATGCATTTGATGATTGTAGGTCTTAGCAGTCTTTACAGAGGTGGGTATTAATCCCACCCTGTATTTCCTTGTGTTTGGGGAATCTCTGCTGAATGGTAGGTTTTATTGTCTGACCAATTTTAAGTTGTTAAATTTTTTTATGGCATCACATATCTTAAAAGTTCTCTTTTTATCCTTTAATACCAGTAAAGCAATTTTATATTCTATTCATCTTTGTGTCTCAAACATTGGTAAATTGGTAAAATGTGTCATTTTAACATCCAGAGGTCATGTTAAAGAAAAGAACAATATACCATGACAATGTTGTGTTTGTTTTTCAGATGGTGTGACCGTTGTGTTGTATAATGTGATGCAGACATACAACAGGTTACAAGAAGGAGGGGGGACAATTGATGCTGCCCAGGTAGAGTTATCTACTCCTTACACTCAAGTTTTCCTTTGAACCAAATTAAATGCCCCTAGTAATAATTATGTTCTTAGATTGAAAAAAATTTTTTTAATTTTTAAAGAATAATTTGTCTCTTAATTGCAAAATAATATTCACTTTTACCGGTACATCACAGCATTTTTGATTGAGTAACTGTAAGATGATCGTGAACCTTGGAATAATATTTTTCTTCGAGCAACCTGTTAGTCCATTTATGCACCATTGGCAAGTCATATATAGATGAATTGTCTTGAACCATTGATATGCACATCTTTGATACGAAATTTGTAAATTTGATGTTTACCCAATACCCAGTAATTCTATGTAACCTATTACCCAGGAATGCATGATTTTTTTTATAATCAGAGGGCAGCTTAATGTGTTAGTTATAGTTTTCCCCTTTCCATACCTGCTTAATTACATGTATGTCCATGATAACATGTTTCAGATTGTGCTGGGGATTGTGAAGTTTGTAATTGTTTGTGCTGGAGGCCTTATTATAGGGATTGTAGTGGGATGCCTATCAGCCGTACTAACCAAGTTCACCAACACAGTCAAAGGTAGTATCACGATTCCTTCTCACCAGGCTTATTTCAAATCTTTAACTTGTGCATGTCTAACCAACATGCTTACACTCCCCTATTTTATGTTTTTGACCCCCTTAAATCTGCTTTACAATTTTCATTCCAAATCTGCAAATATCTCGATAATCACCATTTTCAGTTTGGTAACTATGGAAACAGAACAGTACAGTCATTTGAGTGACAGTAACTTTCAGTCATGTAATTTTCAAACATTTATAGGACAAATGAGTATAACTACCCAAATTGACATTAAAGACACTACGGTTACCTGAGGAGGGGGAGTGGTCCAAGTAACAGTGGTGTTATTTTTTATACCCAAGATGTCAAAAATCTACATACACGTAGCATTACACAGGAAGTCTGTGTCTGGTATCAGGGTCAACATCTGTCTAAATTTGAGTGAAACTACTTGAAATAATTGAAATATTTCAATATAAAATTTATTTATAAATACTTTCAGCGATATCTAATGAAGAAAAAATATAAAGAAATATCGTTTTTATATTTAAAAAAATGACAAATTAAAGAAAAGAACACAGAGTAAAACTACAAAGTAAACATATCTTTTTTAAATTAAACTTGTGTAAATATCAAAATTTAAAAATAATAATATAATAGAATATTCCATTCATAGGTAGGCCTATCCGTCGTGTGAACATATACAATGTACCGTACCACGATAGGAATATTGCCTACGTTCTGATCAACAATAGTGTCGAAAATATTCACCATTTCCGGGTGTTCGTACGTGTGATTAAAATTTTTTATTGTTTGCGAGGTATTTTTTTCATTACTTTTAAGAATTGATCTTTGGCTGTATATATATATATATATATTCATTTTTAATTTCGAATATTGGGTATTGACAGATATTAGGAAATTCGAACTAAAATTTACAATCTCGAAACTCGACAGCTGTTTCTGACATTTCAGAACTTTACAACGGAACATGGTATAGATTGTATTCAAATATAAGTAGGTAAAACATCGGATAAAGGATTTTTTAAAAATATCTTTTCCTATTTTTCATATTCCAATTTTAATTGGCAAATAGCGTTTCTGTGCACAGACTAGTCTAAATTCTACAGAGCAGGTATCTTGGACGACATATCGCTTAAAATACAATATAGCCGTTGAGATTAAAAGCAAATATTTTATGAAATCATGTTTTATCTGTCTACTCATTATCTCAATTGTTTTTAAAATAAAATTTTACCAAGATTCTTTTTTAACCTCCTTGTATACAAGGCGGCTACATGAAAGTGTTTCTAAATCGTCAAAGGTCAGACTATCAGGTAGATGTGGCCTGTCAATCAAATCAGAAGCTATTGTTTTTTTAATGATTGACAGGCGGTAAATTATTGATCTTGAATCAGGTAGATTTTGGGGGCGTTAACATAAAATTGGGTGTTTAAAGACTTTTTTTTTGCTCTTCTTCTTCTTGTACATAATTATCTAAAGTATCATGATGTCTGCATTGAGTATTACTGGTATATTGCTCCAAAAATTGACCTCAAAAGGCTGCATCTAATTCACCATTTTTCAGATGTTTGATTAAGTTTGAATTGATTTAATAAAACAGATAAATTATGATGCATCTACAAGTCTTACTAAGACCAAACTTGCATGGATGCTGCATCTACAGAACAATCATTTGATTTGACAATTGATTTACATAATTATATACCAGGTATAGAAAAAAGTTATTGAAGCAAATTTTGACCTGTTTTCAAGTTTGAAATAAATTTTTATTCATTTGTTTGCTTAAAATATTTAAATAATATCTTCTTTTTTTGCAGTGGTTGAACCTATAGCAATATTTGGAATGGCATACTTAGCTTTTCTCCTTGCAGAGCTTTTTGAATTTTCAGGTATTATTTGGTAGGTATTTTCCTCATTTCAGATGAAAAAAGCATTTTATTTCTCCATTGTCACATATTTAATAATTAATATATGAAGTTTTTGGTTGAAAAATATCTGCAGAACTTCATAGCAGTAGTTTAAGAGTTAATTTTTACTTAACATTAATCAGTCCCCCTACGATAAGCTGATTTGGTGTTTTGAACTGACAAGATTTTAACAATTTTTTTTTTGCAGCATTATTGGGTGTGGACTGGTGCAAGTTGCCTACGCCTTTCATAATATAACTCCGAAATCCAAAGTGGCAATTAAATACTTCTCAAAAGTACTGAGGTACCTAAATAAATTGCAATCAAAGAAGGAAAAATTTTATCTACTGAAATGTAGAAAAATAAGCCCCATAATAATTTATTTATATAACAGTATCAAAAACTCTCAGAGTTTGTGTTGTGTAAAACAAACAGGATAAGTGTAAATTATTTTTACATTGCTCCTGTACATCTCCAAGGTCAAATACTGCACTTGTAAATAAAAAATATTTTGTAATAAGAAATATTTTAGCACAGTAATTAACCTGTATTTTCCTGTTTTTCATCACCACATTATAGACCAGATTGCATTAGCGTATAGTACAGTGTTTTGTTTATACACGGAGTGATTACCTTACACCTTGTATTTCAGCAACACCTCAGAGATCATCATCTTCCTGTTCCTAGGTCTGGCTTTGGTCACAGATCATGACTGGAGGACAGGCTTTGTTCTGTGGACATTGGTGCTGTGTATTGGGTTCAGATTCTTAGGTAAGTAGGTCACATATCATGACGGACAGACAGCTAGGCTTTGTTCTGTGGACATTGGTGCTGTGTAGGCTTTAGGTCACAGATCATGACTGGACACTAGGCTTTGTTCTGTGGACATTGGTGCTGTGTATTGGGTTCAGATTCTAGGTCACAGATCATGACTAAGCTAGGCTTTGTTCTGTGGACATTGGTGCTGTGTATTGGGTTCAGATTCCTAAGTAGGTCACAGATCATGACTGACAGACAGCTAGGCTTTGTTCTGTGGACATTGGTGCTGTGTATTGGGTTCAGATTCCTAGGTAAGTAGGTCACAGATCATGACTGACAGACAGCTAGGCTTTGTTCTGTGGACATTGGTGCTGTGTATTGGGTTCAGATTCCTAGGTAAGTAGGTCACATATCATGACGGACAGACAGCTAGGCTTTGTTCTGTAGACCTTGGTGTTGTGTATTGGGTTCAGATTCATAGGTAAGGTGGGAGAAAATGAGTAAGGTGTGGTATTTTATTACTTTCGTGTACACAGTAAGTTTGTGACATAATATTAAGTCATTCATGGGATGAAATGGAAATCTCTATTGTGCAAGTAGAAGCTAAGTTCCATTATGGATTTCTATTCCACACTTGAATGATCTGTATTTAGTCACATATTAGCTGTGTAACAAAAGTTTCATACTGAATATCTTGACAAGATCTTGTTTTGATGTCAGTAATTAAAAAATATACAAGTTAAAATGTCATTGAGTATTTTGTACATGTATTCTTTGTATTACATAATTGCAGTCAAAGATGCATAAAACAGATTACAATAAACATCATTTGTTTACAATAGAAACACACGAAATAGAATCTTGTTCTCAATATTTAAATCAACCCCTCATCCGAGATTGTAGATTAGAAAATTTCAGGGTGTCATGTGATCTCTTAAGCCAATCCAAATTTTACAAATTGATTGAAGTGGGATATATTATACGCCCGTCTTAAGACGGGACGTATTATGTTATAGGCTTCATGTCCGTCTGTCTGTCTGTTAGCTTTTTTGTTTCTGGCTCATATCTTTAATACTATTAGGCATAGGATTATCAAACTTTGTCATCTGATGCGTCTTGGGTAGAAGGTGTGTCACGCACAAAAAGTAGGTCGTTCTGACCTTTAATTAAGAAGTTATAGCCAAATATAGAAAAATCCTTTCCGGCCCATAACTAGAAAACTATAAGACTTACAATCATCAAACTTGGCTAGTTTATGCATCTTAGGCAGAAGGTATGTCGCGACCTATTTCAAGGTCACTGTGACCTTTAATTTAAGTGAAATTAAAAAAAAATGTGTTCTTATTACTATTCATTTTCACATCCCAAATAATGTAAGAGTATTGCACTGTCCTTATTAAAAAAAGTGTTAAATAAAGAAAATACTTATTTTTTTTAAGCATATTCTTTAGACAGCAGTCTATAACAAATAATATCTATGTTAGAGAAATCCTACCTCTCCCATAAGTATTATTATCAAGCACTGGTCAAGAAGAATTTTGATAACAGAAAATTGCATGTCAAATTAGAGTGAAATTAATGAGTTTAGTGTGAGGAGCTAACTGGTAGCTAGAGCATCGGTGTTATCTATATCCCTTGAGTATTGGGCAAATGGGATAGCCTGTTGGATTAAAAATAGCTCTTGTTGGCTAGCCTAAGTTTTAAAATGAATTTGATGAAAAGTAATTAAAACTAATTCAATTGATATTGCATAATAGACTAATCTGATATTATATAATATTATTAATTTAAAAACCAATTTTATGAGGTGGGGTGGAATAAACATGTCCATATGAATTACATATTAAAACCTGTCGGACATTAAATCTCAACCAAAAGAAAATCTTTGAGTATTTTATATGTTTTAAAAAAAATTTTATGGTAGATAGTGCAGACCCATTCATCTATTGGTAGTAATGAGTAGACAAGCATTCAGTTAAAGATTAATTAATGAGTTCAGTGTAGGAAGGCTATCTGATCAAGCAGTCTTATCTGTATCCTTTGGGGATGAGACAGAAGAACTGCTGGTCAGTTTATAGCATATGTCATTTGATGGCCAGGCCTTTTCTTTTCAAAATTAATTTGGTATAGATTAAGATGTGAAGACTCATTTGATATTGTTTAGTATGATGGGCATTAGACAAGGTCTAACACAACCAGCATAGAAATCTATCAGTGATGTAATATTTATTATAATTAATGCCTACATCACAGGGATGGATAAATATTTTAAGGAATGGAAAAATCATGGAAATCTTAGAATCAAGGTTGTGATTTTCTTGCACGCTAAACTGTTCAAGAAAATTTGTTATTTTTTGACGAGCGTATCATGCTGTGGCGCGGCACTTTATTTTTTTAATATTCTTTTTTTAAAGAATTTTTTTTAAGCAGGATAAATACATGTATATTTGAAAAATCATGATGGAGGAGAGATATTGGCATGTAATTTCTCATTTTAGTATAAATATAATTTTATAGTATTATGTTTGATTATTTAAAATTATACAATGATCATAATGTTTACAGTTGTGTACACACTTACCTTCCTAATCAACAAGTTGGATACATACAGAGTCCGCAAGATTGGATTCGATGAAATGTTTATAATGGTAAAGCAAAGATTTACTTCTCAATTTTCATTTTCTAATCATTTGTAGTGTATGTAATTCATTTTAGCTCACCAGAGCCTAAATAAAAGATGTCTGTGTGGGCCATAGAATTTATAAACTATGTCAAGTGATGCATATAAATGAAAATATATACAGATGAATTTGGATATATCGAACACTGATACATGTATCTCAAATAAAAAAGGATTTTTCCCTGACAGTTAATTATTCCTTATATTTAATATGTACATGCTCTTGGTTCCTCCAATCCATGTGCCCGATTCTGTCTCTATTTGTCCCACTCCAAAGGTGATTTTTTTTTAAACCGCCCCTATCGATGAACCAGTACATTTACAGTACTGTATGTAGAAATAAAGTACATTAACAATTTGTAATTTTATCTCGTACAAAGACATAGGAAATGTAAATATATGTGTGTATCTTGTCAGAGCTATGCTATATTTATAAATATATATAGATATACTTTCTTTTGATTTTGTGTCAGAACATTACAATATATAGATAAGTGTATTTTCTGTTCCTGATTAGAGCTATGGAGGACTGCGTGGTGCTGTCTGCTTCTCTCTGGTGGCACTGCTGGATAAGAATGAGTTTAAGGAGAAGGACATGTTTGTCACCACCACCCTCTTCATTATCCTCTTCACCGTCTTCTTCCAGGTAACACAAACAACTTCTGTTGGCAAACCCTAACTTTTGGTTTACGAAGGGAACAAATTTTTTAGCTAACCGAAATAAATAAAGACTTGATGAAAGTTTTCATCTGTGCAATCTGTGACAGTTTCATTGTAATATGCACAGTGTTTTGGTATTTTGAAACTATATACAAATGTTATATAAGAAGATTATTTTCGTAGTTTTCATTGGCTGAAAGTAAGTCATGTGATATTCCTCCTTTTGTGATGTCAATGCGAAAGCACGTCTGTAGAAAATAATATCGCACAACATGCTGTTCTGTTGCACTAAAGTTACGTAGTACGTGACGTCATAATATAAGAAGCGTGAATTTAACCATTGTGACGTAATGACAGCCAAATCCGTTCAGTTAGGACCGTGTCAGTGCATTCAGTTTGAGTGATTATAGAATATAACTATTATGGACTTCAGTGAATGGTTGATATGTGGTTATAAGGACTCATGGCAATATTGATATTGACTTCAGACACAGAAAATGATAGCGACCTCGCAGGCTCGGTCGCTATCACTTTCTGTGTATTTGGTCAATATCAATTGCCATGAGTCCTTATAACCACATATCGACCTACACTGAAGTCCATAATTGTATATTATTTCTGTTTTTGAGGTCAATATGATGATTTAGCCACCTGAGGAGTGCAATATTCACCGAGCCCAAAGGGCGAGTTGAACAATGTACTTCGAAGTGGCTAAATCATCGTATTGACTGAAAAAACCCAGCAATAATTGTTTTATTATATGATTCAATGATTAAATGATACAACTCATTACTTGTTTGCTTTAATTTTGTTGAAGTCCCAACGTACTATAAAGCGAGAAGCAGATCGAGTTACAGTGTAAATTAACTTCACCAGTTGTATTTATTTGAAATGTTTTCTATTTTAAGTCACATGAAAGAAAAAAATAATGTCAGGCTCTTCTACTTGAAATATTTTGAAAGGATTGAGGGTTATTATAGGGAGAACTGACAGCTAAAAAGTAAAAATTAATGTTTGATTAAAAAAGTATCGGAGGGAGGGTCCCAGCACCCACACTTACAACCCCCACCACAAATTATATATATTCGCCTAATATTATGTTTACATTAGTAAAAATCGGTAGCAGATGTAATAGCGTTCCATAAGTATTTGTATCAATTTGGAATTTCCCGATCTATTTTTAGATCAATGTAGAGAAAATAAATCCTTATATTCACCTGGATTATCACGTGCAGGTGAATATAACGTAGTATTTTTTCTACGTTGTTGGATCTCAGCCAATCAGAATGATAGGAATTATTCAATCATATAATAAACTGTATTATCTATGATTTTCTTTCGAGAAATAAAGGGAAACTTTCAAACAATTTTAAATTTTAAGTGTCTTGGATGGTTGGGGTTTAAATTAATTTGGATGAAAAATTGATGTTAAGTGGCTTTTTGTAACTTAAAAGCAATTTCAAAGGTTTTAGATTGTAAATTCTTTACAGGCAAATATGATTTGTTTATTTTTCAGGGTGCCACAATAAAACCAATTGTGAATGCTATGCGAGTAAGACTAGCGCCCAAAGATAACAGTACAACAATGTATCTTGTTCTTCATGATAAAGTAAGTACATCTAAGTAATGAAGTATTGTTTTTGAGAGATAAAGTCTCATACATGCAACTGCAAAAGCACCTGCAAAAGAAATTGAGTAGCAATGTTAAGTACATGTACAGTTAAGATTTAGTATCTCAAGCACCAATATCTTGTATACCATAAAATTGTGTTTTTTTCTTCCTTAGATTAATGATCACCTAATGGCTGGTGTTGAAGAAATATTGGGTTATCTGGGAAAGTTTACACTACGAGTAAGTGAATAAAAGTTTGGCACTGTACTCTAATGCACTGTACAATCATACTTTATAAAAATTATCAGAGAATGTATGTATAATTTCACCTTATGTGCAAATCTTGTTACAGTTACATGCAGTAATAATTATATAGTTTTTTTTTGTAAATTTGTTGAAACAGAGATGCTTAATTTACAATATGAAGTATATTAATACAAATTATTGTAATGGAGGAAAGAAAATAAGTTTTAAACTAGTTTTTTTTATTTATAGGAAAAATTTCATTACATTGATGACAAATATATCAGGAAGCTGCTGCTGAAAACACCCAGCATAGAGGATGGAGCAGATATTATAGGCAATTATGAGAAGCTAGTGATGAGGTTAGTACAGTGATGACACAGGCATTGGGACTTAAGTTTTGTGTCAGATTAGAAAGGGTGTCAATTTACACAGTGTAAATAAGATGGAAATTATGTAGTTAAATTGGATGTTTTTATTTCGGAGCGGGGGTGTACTGTTTTTCCCTTGTGTGTGTGTGTTTGTCTGTGTGTCTGTCTGTAACAAATTTTCGTCGCAGTTTTCTCAGCAACTGCTGACCAAGATGCTTGAAATTTTAGTACATTCTTTGCTAAGGCATGCCATATGGTGGGATTTATTTTTAGCTCACCTGAACCGAAGGCTCAAGTGAGCTTTTCTGATCACATTTTGTCCGTCATCCGTCCGTCTGTCCGTCTGTCTGTCCGTCCTTCTGTAAACTTTTCACATTTTCGACTTCTTCTCAAGAACCACTGGGCCAATTTTGACTAAACTTGGTACAAAGCATCCTTGGGTGAAGGGGAATTTAAATTGTTAAAATGAAGGGCCAAGTCCCCTCACAAGGGGAGATAATCAAGAAAAGACAAAAATAGGGTGGGGTTATTAAAAAATCTTCTTCTCAAGAACCATTGGGCCAATAAGGCTGAAACTTATGTGGAGGCACCCTGGGATAGTGTAGATTCTAAATTGTTCAAATCATGACCCCCGGGGGTTGGGCGGGGCCACAATGGGAAATCCAAGTTTTACATATAAATATATAGGAAAAATCTTTAAAAATCTTCTTCTCAAGAACCACTGGGCCAGAAAAGCTGAAACTGATGTGGAAGCACCCTGGGGTACTAAAGATTCTAAATTGTTCAAATCATGACCCCTGGGGGTAGGGCGGGGCCATAATGGGGAATCCAAGTTTTACATAGAAATATATAGGAAAAATCTTTGAAAATCTTCTTCTCAAGAACCACTGGGCCAGAAAAGCTGAAACTCATGTGGAAGCATTGTGGGGTAGTGTAGATTCTAAATTGTTCAAATCATGACCCCCGGGGGTTGGGCGGGGCCACAATGGTGAATCAATGTTTTACATAGAAATGTATAGGAAAAATCTTTGAAAATCTTCTTCTCAAGAACAACTGGGCCAGAAAAGCTGAAACTGATGTGGAAGCACCCTGGGGTAGTGTAGATTCTAAATTGTTCAAATCATGACCCCCGAGGTTAGGGCGGGGCCACAATGGGGAATATAAGTTTTACATAGAAATATATAGGAAAAATCTTTGAAAATCTTCTTTTCAAGAACCACTGGGCCAGAAAAGCTGAAACTCTTGTGGAAGCATTGTGGGGTAGTGTAGATTCTAAATTGTTCAAATCATGACCCCCAGGGGTGGGCGGGGCCATAATGGTGAATCAAAGTTTTACATAGAAATATATAGGAAAAATCTTTGAAAATCTTCTTCTCAAGAACCACTGGGCCTGGAAAGCTGAAACTCATGTGGAAGCATTGTGGGGTAGTGTAGATTCTAAATTGTTCAAATCATGACCCCCAGGGGTTGGGCGGGGCCACAATGGTGAATCAAAATTTTACATAGAAATATATAGGAAAAATCTTTGAAAATCTTCTTCTCAAGAACCACTGGGCCAGAAAAGCTGAAACTGATGTGGAAGCACCCTGGGGTAGTGTAGATTCTAAATTGTTCAAATCATGACCCCCAGGGGTAGGGCGGGGCCACAATATATTGTATTACAAGGGGGAAATCTGGTAAAGAACAATATGACAAAAGATTCTCAGGTGAGCGATGTGGCCCATGGGCCTCTTGTTGTTCAAATCTGATGTCAGTTTCCTGTTTATCCGTATGTCTGCCCATAACTGAACATGTGTTTATTAATCTGATAGTGTAAATTCACATCAGAGCGAGGATATTACTAGTGAGGATTGGCTCACAGACTTCTTGTTTGTTTGTTTGTTTGTTTTTTTTTTTTTGGGGGGGGGGGGGTGTTTCAAACATTTTATTTCCTATGGGGAAAATTTTCAGCAAGTTTCATTGTAATTTCTCTTTGCATCTTGGGAAATTTGAAGGTTGTACATACAGTTAAACCTGTTTAATCAATGTTGTGGATTCCACAATCTTGTCTAAAATGATCTAAACTTTCAGACTCCTTCAGTAAATCATTAAAATGTTTTCTAATGTAGAATGTAGTGTAATCTATTTAATTTCTTTGGAACCAATGATGTCTGAATTAGACAAATACTGCTACTTAACTATTTTTTGCCATATATTAAGAATGAAGTATGAAATTATTGTTTTCAGAGAACATTACAAGAATTTACATTTGTGTGGCGCTGCTAATCTGCCCAAAGTTCCCAGTGATCTGTAAGTATTAGTCTTCTTATGTTTCTAAATCCTCTGTGTCTTTAATAGATTAAAGATTTAATTTCTCTCAGCTCTCTTATCTTTAAAGTTCTAAAACATATCAAAACTGGTGACAAGATATCTCAACTTACTGGATATCAATAAAAATGAAATTATTTTCTTTTGTTTTTCTCTATGTAGACATTTTATAAGGTGAGGACAAGCAACTCTGAACAATGATTTCTCATTTCAGAAACAGAAATAGTTCTGTACTTAAATTTGAAGCCTCTATCATGCTTTTCTTCATGAAAATTTATAATTTTAGTTCTATAATATTTTAAGGTTTGAACAATGCTAAGCACATTTGTAGTGTAGACAGAAACGCATAGGCATTCTTCAATTTACTTTGAAATTTTGAGTGTTGCATAGAGATATAGATAATGTTTTTTTTAAAAGTTAGCTAGCATTTAAATGTAATAAGACATTGAAGTCGACAATGTAAGAACATGGGATTCTGTGTCATTTTTGGTCAAATTTCATAATTTGAGGTGCCAGTGCAATTGTATCTAACATGATGTGAATACAGTTCTTAGCTGTGCATATGAACTTTAAAAAAAAAATTGGATGACTTTTTTAGCTCACCTGAGCCGAAGGCTCAAGTGAGCTTTTCTGATCACATTTTGTCCGGCGTCTGTCTGTCCGTCTAGCTGTCTGTCTGTCTGTAAACTTTTCACATTTTCGACTTCTTCTCAAGAACCGCTGGGCCAATTTCAACCAAACTTGCCACTAAGTATCCTTGGGTGAAGGGGATTCAAGTTTGTTCAAATGAAGGGCCACGCCCTCATTCAAGGGTAGATAATTGGGAATTAATGAAAATTTAGTGGCATATTTTAAAAATCTTCTTCTCAAGAACCACTGTGCCAGGAAAGATGAAACTTATGGGGAAGCATGTTCAGGTAGTTTAGATTCAAGTTTGTTCAAATCATGACCCTCGGGGGTAGGGCGGGGCCAAAATGGCCGACCAAAGTTTTACATAGAAATATATAGGAAAATTCTTTAAAAATCTTCTTCTCAAGAATGACAAAGCCATAATTCATCATATTTATATGGAAGCATGCTCAGGTAGTGTAGATTCAAGTTTGTTCAAATCATGACCCCCGGGGGTAGGGCGGGGCCAAAATGGCCGACCAAAGTTTTACATAGAAATATATAGGAAAATTCTTTAAAAATCTTCTTCTCAAGAATGACAAAGCCATAATTCATCATATTTATATGGAAGCATGCTCAGGTAGTGTAGGTTCAAATTTGTTCAAATCATGACCCCCGGGGGTAGGGCGGGGCCAAAATGGCCGACCAAAGTTTTACATAGAAATATATAGGAAAATTCTTTAAAAGTCTTCTTCTCAAGAATGACAAAGCCATAATTCATCATATTTATATGGAAGCATGTTCAGGTAGTGTAGATTGAAGTTTGTTCAAATCATGACCCCCGGGGGTAGAGCGGGGCCAAAATGGCCGACCAAGGTTTTACATAGAAATATATAGGAAAATTCTTTAAAAATCTTCTTCTCAATAATGACAAAGCCATAATTCATCATATTTATATGGAAGCATGCTCAAGTAGTGTAGATTCAAATTTGTTCAAATCATGACCCCCAGGGGTAGGGCGGGGCCAAAATGGCCGACCAAAGTTTTTAAAGATATATATAGGAAAATTCTTTAAAAATCATTTTCTAAAAAATAGCAAATCCATGATTTATTTAAACTTTACAATAAAAAACCATTTTCTACTTTTTCATACCCTTAGTGCTCAGGTGAGCGATGTGGCCCATGGGCCTCTTGTTATCTTGTGACACTAAAATGGGTAATCTGTATGATTTCTTCTAAATGCTTGTCTTCAAAATAACTTTTAAGATCAAAGGTAGGGAAGCTAGTTTAATGATTTTAATTGTCTGTTTCTTTGCCTGTCTTCATCCTTGCTCAGACTTGTAAATGTGAATGATATGAGAACTTTCTGCAAATGGTAACACGACAAAAGGATGGGTTGTCACATGAAAACCAAGTTCATTGCATGCAAAAAGGTCATGCAAGGTCACAGGGATTACTTATATCACTAAGATTTAGATTTTAATTAAAAGAGGTCGAACTCATGTCAGGCACAATAGAAGCATACATTTATGACCTTTGAAATTATCAAAATCACAAGAGATAAAAAATTAGAAGAAATTAGATTCTCCAATATCTTTGTTGTAAGATAAATTGCTAGAAGCTCAAATGTCATATCATGATTATGAAACTAATCAAGTTCCATTTAGGCCCACAAGGATTGCAATATAGAGTTCATGTTGTCATACCAGGTATAATTTTCATTTAATATCAAGGGTCAAAAAACTGCAGAAATAGTGAATTTCAGGTGATGGTTTCTGGTTGACTATAATTTTATACTAACAGCTAGTGTATGATTAGCATTAAATGCATGTAGATATTGCATATTTTATTTGATTTGCATGATTCTCTGAATTTTCATTAAAGCTTTATGATCATGTGAACATTGAATTGTAAAATCTTTCATTTAAATTTAGGAGGAATGTGGACAGCTCAGCTGTATTACTAGAACTAGAAGCAGGGGAGGAGGCAGAAAAAGAAGAGCAAGAGGTGAAAGTCAAAGGTAAGTTTCTGAATATAATATTTACCATAACTCAGTCATAAATCGTACATTTTAGATTTTGTAGATTTCGTCATTCTCTAAATTGCTTATACATGTACATGTAATGTATGTGCTCAAAGTTGGGCAGCTTTCATGTGAATGGTGTATTTAATTCAAAAATAAGTTTCATGTTTTGCTAATAATTAAGAGATGATGATTTAGGGGTACTTAGGTTTCAGTGTTTAATTTTAACATATATTTCTATTTTAAAAGAAAGCAAAACTTAAATCTACAATATAAACATAAAGTTCAGTAGATTTGAATAATATATAATGCATGCTTTGCCAGCCTTACTCTAAAGAATGTTTTTAATTAAAGCTTTCCCAAATGTATGCTAAGAAACTTTATTCATTTCAAGGGTTTAGATATGTTTTATGTTTTTAGAAGCAGAAATGAGACCAGGACATATAAATGGTCCAAGTACTAATGGTAATGGTATTAAAATTTGCATACTGATATATTTTTTATATAATTACCATAATCCAATAAAACAGCCATGTGAAGGCTTAAATCTAACTCCTTTGTCTTCCAACAGAGCACTTACCGAGAAACTAGGTTAAAATTTAGAAAGAAATATTTTCAGAATGATATCTAGGATTGATCAGAACTTTCCTGGAAGGAATAGGGAGTTACTTTTAACAGAATACTGCCTATTTGAATTTATTGAACATAAAATATCAAGAGCAAGAAGAGATGACAGTTATGTAAAAGCTCTCTGGGGTAGTGTAAATTCTTCTTAATTAATAGATGAAATCCCGTGCAAGCAAGGGGAATTGAATTTACAGTTGCCACTACTGACAGAAAATCCTACAGGCTTATTGAGGGAAGAAGCACTTATAGTTCAAAATCCCACAAGAAGTAGATATACCGCATAAGTGGAAATTTTAGCGAGACGCAAATTTAGCGATTTATCCTTAAAAAGTGGTATTTTATGTTTAGCGAGATGAAATTTTAGTGATTTAAGAATTCTCACTAAAGTAGCTATAAGAAATAAAACGCAATTAATTTTTAGCGAGATTCAATTTTAAACCCTTGCTAATAATGCCAAAAAAATAAAATTTCTGCAATTTCAGTAAAAATTGAAAAAATAGCAATTTCAGTAATTGACATTTTGTATGAAACCTGATATAAGTAATGGATGTACATGTACTTCAGATGTGCTAATTTCATTTCCGTGAAGGATAAAAACAGCGATTGTGCACATTTTACTGATAAATTGATTTGGGGGGGGGGGGGGTGTAAAATTCACAAGCAATGATGCAGTTTTGTCTTGCTTTATAAATGTGTTTGTTCTTTATTGATTTGTAAAAAGGTATTTTACATTTTTGAACATATCAATAATGAACATATATATATGTACATTTTTATAATCGAAGACCCAAGTACATGTGTGAAAGAAAAAATTAGCCCTTGAATAGGCCAAGTATTTGATACGAAAGACTGTATTCATGCAGAAAAAAATGAAATTTTTTGATTAAAGCACACAACTTTACAGCTTTAATTGTATTTGAACAATACCTTATTCATTAATTTTCTCTTTTCATGTAAGCAAATTACGAAGTACAAATTGTACTTCGGGTTCCTTGCCACGATGCTCTCAGTAAGAAAAATACAAATACCCATAAATTTATTAGGAAAACCTACTACATATGTTATAGTCTATAGATATATAAATATATTCACAACTTATAAATAGTGTTATCAATGATTTACCATTATTTCAATGACCATTTACACAAAAGCTTGTTTTATGATCATGCAACTACAGTATAATCGCCCTGTTTTTCTTTTTAAAATCGGGCTCGATGCTATATGATATTCTAAAAGCTTCCATCAATATTAAGATCGGCAAATGACAGAAATAATTTGCACATTTCCCTTTTTAATCGGTTGTCACATTTATATCATTTAAATCAAGTTTTGATATAATAATAAATAAGCGATTGTTTAATTGTCAGTTTCAGTAACTGTTGCCATTAGCATAGATCCGCCAACCGGAAATGCCACCTTATATAATACTCACATCTTAACTATTTCATGGCTGTTAATAGAAAATTAATGTAGACTTTTAATTTAATCTACAATACTTACTACGCAAGTGAAATAAAAATCACTTTAGAAATCTTTAGAAAAAATTTTCTCTGGTGAAAGTAGTAGTTTTTGGGTGATGCAGTGTTGGAGGGGGTGATTGGTTGTTTAAAGAAGAATTAATAGACCTCAGTTTGGAAATACAAGCTATATAGGTTTCAGACACACATACTTGGTGATCAGTTTGTGTAATGTTTAAAACATACATGTAACAGACTACACTATGAGTTGTCTATTTTTGCATCTTTAAAGGAAGGGATGCAATGGCCCACAAGAACGGGAATAATTTACAGTGTATTTGTCATTAAAAACTACAGAGAGAAAAGTTGTAATTGTTTTAAATACTATTTTTAGGTTCACGTTTATTGAAATGAGAAATTTCTACAAAGCACAGTTCCGTCTTCCTAATGAGCATGTCATGTTCTCTTGTAACCCAATTTCATATTCTTTCTAAATCTGAAATGCTTCATGTTATTCATTTGTAATGATGGAATGCTTCTCTTAAATAATCAAGCATAATTATTAAAAGAGTTTTGTCTTTCAGATTTATAAAAAAAAGTATTCCTGTTACATACACATGGGTGGAGATATGTTTATGTTTGAGAAGTTGTTTTATTCATACGTTTTAAAAATATATTAATGGGAAGGCCGAAAGTAATGGAAATTATATTCTACAGTAAAACATGTTTAAATTTGAATTCATGCATAGAAGAAATAATATTTTTACTGCCCATTTATTATACAAAGAATGGATAATGAACAAGATGTAGAATTACTGATATGATGCATTATTTCATCAATCTCAGCTGATTTGCAATAATTGTGTTCAAGTAATATATACATGTACCTTTTATCCTGTTTTCATGAAGCATGTATGTATTGAAGGTAAATTCATGAGTTAAAAAAATGATAAATTATTTGCAGGTATAAAAGAACTTTCAAAATTATGAATACGTTTGATTAGTTTTGGTATTATGTGTGTTACAGAGCCAATGATTTGGACATTTAAAGCTGTTTTTGAAATGTTGACTATGCATCTGATGAGTTTTGGTTTTTGTGTTACAGAGCCCAGGAAGTCCCAGAGAAAGCCGATTTCTATTGAGATAGGGGGAGAACCTACAGCCAAAGACTTCAGGAACTTGTTGGATCAGAGTATGAGATCCCCAACTCTGGTGGTAAGTCAAGCTCTTTGTAGACAATTTAACTCGACTCGATCTGCAGGGAATTAAGTCTTAGATGCTTTAAAGCACCTATCCAAGCTAATGTTAAAGATGAATGTTTGAATTATTCTGTAATCATGATTTAAGTAATTGAACATTCAGCACAGAAAACCAGGAAACTACCCACCCCCTTCAAAAAAAAAGAGAATTTGAGATGAATCATTGAATGGGGGATCATATATTTTACATGAGCAAATTTCTCAAAAAAAGAAAAAAAAAAAATGGAAAAATTCTCTCAAACATGTTTAAAGTATGTAAAAGAAATCTATGTGATAAATATAATACACAAGTACTGTTAGACTAAAAATATTGCTTTAATTCTGCACAGATTCCGAAGAAAAGATTTGATGATTTTGTCAGTGACACTGCCAAAGTTGATTTCCAAAACTTACGAAAAAGACGAAAGAACAATGCTCGCCTACAGCGCATGAAATCCATCAGGAAAATGCCAGAAAGAGCTCTGTCCTGGGCAGAAGAGGACACGGCTCTGTGTAGAAATAGGTCAAATAATCGTGTCAAAGGGCGCACCAATAAGGCCATGACAGTAGACTACTCCCCATTGGAGGGAAATAAAGATTTCAATTCTTCGTTGATCAATCAGACAATTCCTGAAGATGATGTGTTTGGGTCAGAAGAGCATGGGGCGGAGGTTAGCCCCCTGATAACCGATGACATGGACTCAAAGGGGGCCAAAGACGGGGGGTCAAAGAAGAAAGTGCAGCATGAAGCCCTCCATCGGCAGGACGCCATAGAAAACATCCCCTTAGAGAATGTTAAGGAGGTGAAGAGAACCAAATCCTTAGATGTCTAATCTAAGACTGTATAGTTTAAACTTGTCTTTTGATATTTTTTAAATTATTTTTTCTTGGAAGGGTTTGCTGAATTATAGGTAGGGGTTATTTTTTTGCAATCCATTATTTTTAACACTTCATTATATTTATCTTTCTAATTTGCATATATAGTGCTTTACTGTTAACATGAATTTATTTTTTTGATAATTTTTTGATGCAAGGGAGAGAAAAGTTTGTTTTTATAGAATTCATTGTGTTCTAATTTATAAGTAAAGGAACGGTGGTTTTCATATGCCTCTGTATGTTTTGTGTTTATCAAAGAGGTCCGTGATCATTTTTTTGGACCCACTATGTGTCATAGTGATAGAATAGTCTGTGATTGACCTGATTATTTTTAATATTTATAGATATATTTCGCCATTGTTTTTAGGTACTGTGAAATGTTTAATCTGTTTCCTTCACATTTACTTTGATTAACAGATTCTTTAATTAACAGATTAATTGTAGAGACTTTTGTCATTTGAGACACTGTTTTGAAAAGGAAACATGGTAACAATTATAAATAAGAGACAATTTAACCCCTTTCATGGCATATACCCATTTCTATGCATCTGAATTGAAAAACAAGTATAGTGAGAACAAACATTCAAAACTTCGTTAATACTGCAAATATCAGAATAATTCTTGCAATGTTAGAAAGAGAAAATTATTACGATAAATAATATACAGAATTTTTTTTATTGGTTTTACCATTTTTTTTGCTAGCTCGAGTTAAACTTTGTGCACTATTCAAGCGATTTTGCCATTATCAAAATCAATGCGGTGATAACATGTAAATGTTAAATTACTAAATTCTAGTGATTATCTCCCAACACCCCAAACTCCCCCCAAAACAACTTAAAATTGGTTTTTAAAGCATGTACAACATGCTCATAATTTTTGGCACAATAATAAAATATTTTTAAATATATCTAACTAAGCAAAAAAAAAAAAAACAAACAAACAACCCCCCCAAAAAACGGAATGAATCTCTATCTTGAATAAATAGAAATTCCAGCATCATGCTGGTGGTGTTGTTCATTGCCATGGCAACTGAAATGATATTTTTTTCATCATTTTCAGAAACTACGCAATATCTGCTTTCAGATAATATAAACATTGGTATATACAAAAATAAAAGAAATACCCGAAAAAATGCAAAAGTGCATTGAAATTTTAATAACAATTTGTCTAAAAATGCTCAAAATCTTTGTCATGGAAGGGGTTAAAGAATCTTATGAAATGTTGAATGTAATATACAAGTACTTTTGTAGATAAAATAAGCAAATAATGTATAAATTCTGCACTAGATACTTAAACTGAGTCCTCAAGAAATCACATATCCCAGCTGTTAAATGTGGCTTATTTTTATTATGTGTGTTTGTACATGTATGTATATGCATATGTTAGCAGAATGTTCTTCCACTCTCAACTCTCTTTGGCATCACACATTGCTTTTTTATCATGGTAACAAGTTTTCATTCAAATAGGGTGCAATCCTTCATTTATATTTTTATATTTTCCATGAATATATCACAGTTGGTACATCAAATATTAATTACCACACTATTTGTGTAAGAGATCCTGTATACTATTAGCTGGTTATATTAATACTCACTCTTTGATATGTAACACATTACTTATGTTTTTCATATATACCAAAAATTCATTGACTTTTCCTTCAATATCAAGTGTTTTACTATGTGTATCTGATGTAGGTATTTTTCTGAATTCAATATGCATAGTCTTACGCAGTTATTCTAGATTTGTTTGTTTTATCTTTAAAGTGTAGAAATTTGATGGTGTTCTAGATTGCAAGGTATTGGGAATTGCAGCATATTTAAACTGTGTGTCAACAAGTTATACAAAAAAAAATTCTTTCTTGGTAGATTTGTGTAAGTATCCATGTCTTAAAAGAAGGTATCATTTTCAAATTAACAAGTAATGTTGGACAAGTAGAGCCTTTACAAATTGTTTTACATTTAAGGATTTTAGTGAATGTACTCTTAATACAGTAAAACTTGGTTATAACGAAGTCATTGGGACCTGTGAAATTACTTTACTATATCCATAATTCATTATATCTGTATAAAGAATTCGTTAAATTTATGTAGCTGGGGATCCACGATTACTTTGCTGTATATGTGAATTTGCAATATCCGTGTTCCTAGTAAACGAGTTTTACTATAATACTATTCTGTACTGTTCATATTGTATATATACGAACATGTTTATGTACACTATTATCATATCATTGACATTCTAATTATAGAATATCTATAACGAGTATAAAATGATTTTCTGTGATCACTCAATATGTACGCATAAAATGATTTTCTGTGAACATGCAATATTTACGCATAAAATGATTTTCTGAGATCATGCAATATTAACAAAGAGAATAATTTTTGTAGGCCATATGCAGAATTTTTATATTTTTGTAGACAAAGATTATTTCCTGGTCATGATTTCTCTTATTGAGTCAGTTGAATTTTTTTTTTATCTATGAAGATCATTCATATTACATGTATATAATGCTTATTTTGAAGGCCTGTATCAAAAATTGTAAATATATAATACAGTCATTTAATTGTTTAGATATTTAAAAAATATATATATTCAGACTCTAAAAATCACAAAAATAAAATAAAAATAACCAGTGAATTTCATGGAGGACTTATGCCCTGTTCACAAGAGTGCACTTAAAGTTTTTACCTAGTAGTAAACTAATGCAAAACTAAAAGTACTTTCAGCAGTGAGCCAGTGAATGCACAAAATTGTACCCCACCCCCTTTGAGTAAGGGCAAGTCCAAATTTTTGCGAAAAATACTAAACTTCTCACTCTCAATATATGATAAAAACTTAAGAGTGGTACAATTGAATTTTGTAATAAAGATGTTAAATTATCACTGAATTTTATTCTGTAAAATAGAAGTAGTTGTGGATGAGAACTGGGTATCCTAATTATGTAATAAGTGGCAGTGTCCAAGTAAACACTCTTGGAAACCCCAAATGTGTCATATCAAAAGTAAAAAGAGAAGGTTGTGTAATAAGTCTTTTAAAGTATCATTTAATTTTATTCAGATATAGGTAACCCTCACTATAACAGAAAGAATGGCCTCCATGTCTCCCTGAGATATTACAATACAATGGGGTATTGTGAGCATTAAACCCACAAACTGATAATCCCCACTCCCTTCTGTATACGAGTATAAGTGTAATTGCATAGCCCATTTTTTTTTCTATATATGGGCTAGCCAAAATATTTGAGTGTCCATTTGAAGTTAAAAATATAAGGTGCACAATGGTTGTTTGTGAAACGTATGTCCCCGTATGACAACTTATAGCGAAGGTTAAACTTACTCAAATGCAATTCAAATTTATTGGTACGCAAAGGTCTTCTCACAATACACTTGTGAAATAAAAGCCCTAGCATCACCTGTTCAAAAGTTATGATCAAGGTTAAGAAGTAGGTAAAACGTCAACGTCTCTAAAGGAAGGTTTTGTCAAAGGATTACGTATGTGAAGTACATGACTTGTATGAAAGTTCTAGCACTAAACTTTGAAAAGTTATAGCCAACTTAAGTTTTTTGAAAATGGTCAAAGTCAAAGGGTCAAAGTTGTTATTTTAGGAAAGGTCTTGTCACAGTTGGATAACATATGTGAAGCCTGAAAGCCTTAGCCCTAACTGTTCAAAAGTTTTACAAAGGTTAAAGTTTTTTAAAAGTGCGGTAAACTTCAAGGTCAAAAGGACAAAGTTGTTGGAATAAGGATTACATACGTCAAGTATGAAAGTTTTTGCCCCAACTGTTTAAAAATTATGGCCAAGGGTGGATCAGACTCCAAGGTCAAATTTGATGGTTCCCAAAGAAAGGTCTTGTCACAAGGAATACACATGTGAAATATGAAAGCTACAATCTCAACCAATCAAAAGTTTTGGCCAATGTTAAATATTTTGAGGACAAACAGCTTAAGAGACAATCAGAAAAACAGACAGACGGACAAGGCAAAAATTATATACCTACAAATCTTCGATAACGGGGGCATAAAATTATTCTGTTAAATTCTCATCGGATTATATTTTGTGATTCAGGAAGAGTTGCGGGTAAGAGCTTGTTTCCTGCGATTCTATTTAAAAGTACTGCCAGGGTCCATGTTTTGCTATGAGAAAGCCCAATATTGAAAGGAAAAGTAGGAGATGGTCCATACCATTATTTAATCCAGTTTCTTTGAAAGTCAACAAATTAAAACGGTGCTATGGAATTGAATGTGATCTGTGTCAGATTATGGATGCTACACATCACAGGTTTTTAACCCACCAAGTGGTTAGATAATTCTATGATGAGAAAAATTTTAAAATAATCTCTAGATCTGAAATATTCATATGAAGGAATTGATACCGTACTTAAACCCCTGTCACACCGGGGCTGCGTTCTCACTGCGACCTCAAAAAATGCAAAACGCCAAGGTGATCGCAGTAGAGTCTCCTACAGCGCCGTGACAATGTAGTAGGCCTACCGGGCTTCCCTCTCTTACCTTGCTGTTTTGTTTATGAAAACTATACGCATGCGTTTATAGCATGGAATCACAGGCACCTGACGTTACTTATTTTTCTTTTAATAAAAAAAGTATACACATACCGAATAATAAACTTTATTATTCGGTATGTGTATATTTTTTTTATTAAAAGAAAAATAAGTAACGTCAGGTGCCTGTGGTTGCGATGTATATATTTATGTACCATAAATAATTATTAATTTTAATGAAATAATCAGAATTATTTACTTATGAAATTTGTAATTTTCTGAAAGTGTATACATTTATGAGTATGAAAAAAATTCCAAATCCTATAGGAAAATTTTAACAAGTCTGTTTTTGAAGAGATGCGTCATATTGTCACTTTAAATTTTGTAGAAAACTTTTAAGTGTGTTTATTATTTTTTTTACGTTCATAATAAAATTAAAGAAAATTTGACAACACATCTGAACCGATAGAATTGAGAAAAAAAGGAGTTTAATCATAAAAGTATTAATAATTTAGTACTAAATTATTTAAATAGAACATTTTTAATTATTAAGAATTTTTCTTGGCATGATAAGAAGTCTTTTCATCCTGTAACTTGAATCTTTAAACAAAAATGTTTTACATTTCTTCTGAATATATATATCAATGAGTATAGAACGCATTGTGAACGTATTGTGAACGCAGCGAGGGCAGTGAGAACGCCGTGAACACGAGGTGAAAACTGTTAACGCGCCGTGAAAACTGCGGAAGCGCAGTCAATCGCCGAGAGATCTCCGTGGGAACGCAGTAGAACGCCGTGAGATCGCCGTAGAATCGCGACCGTCGCCGTAGGAACGCCATGACATCTTCACATTGTGAAAATTTTACAGAAATTTGTGCAATTTTCCTGCGATTCCACTGCGATTTTAAAAATTTAACAACGCCGTAATGACTCGGTGTGAACGCAAGTCGGTGTGACGGGCCTTTACTTTTAAAATGTATTTAATTGAAAAAAGGTCTAATCTAGCACTCCTCATATGTGACGGAAGCTGTTGTGTCTTTTATTTTGAACTCACTGGGTTATATCGAGATGACACATGAATAAATTAATTTATCTTTTCTTAAAAATATAACCGTAAAATAGTACACTTCGTTAATGAAATATATGGAGAAAACAAACCGTATCCAAGCTCTAAAGGCCATTCAAACAATACAAATTAGGAGTAGAGCAAACACGGACCTCTAAAACATAAGAGTTTGGATCGGGTGGTATGGATGAGAGAGCATCCCCTGCGACTGGTCACAACAACCGTGTATAAATTGTCATAATTAGGAATTAACGGCAAAATCCGTCGACAATTCGGTGTGTAAGTTATGAACATTGGGAAAGAAAACCGTCAGTCAGCATTTGACTTGATAGATTGTATTTGCTGACAGTGTCATTTAATCGACCTTAGAGCTTACGGAAATTATGACTTTATGGTATTCTTGTTCATGATCAGTACGTACTGGTCCCTGCTGACAAAAATAAGTGACATCATTTTCGTTTGTAAGGCTCATTATAATTTGTATTTTAGAAGAACTTGAACTTAATTCTACAAGTGGTTATCCAACTTATACATGTACTCATAGTTACCTTTCTAAGGAAGAAATTCCAAATTATACGTCAGTTTTGAATATTTTTAATATCCCAAATAACCAAAGTCCATTTGAATTATCGTATCTATATTGCATTCCGAAACTTTAAAAAAAATCCTTACGAAGATACATAGCGGGTTCCAGTAAATGTTCAACCAAACCCCTGTCTTTACTCCTCAATATGCTGATTGACGTTTTTCATGCTAATTGGTAGTCCATTATTTACACACTGAACTGACGACGGATTTTTCCGTTATTTCCCGATCATGACAAGGAGCACACGGTGGCCCACCTCTGATGTTGTGGAGGTCCTTGTTTGCTCTTCTCTTATCTTATATTGTTTATTGGACTTCTGATCTTGAATAGTGTTCGTTATTTCCATATATTCCAGCAACTTGTTTGTCAATAAATTGCCGGGTTTTAGAAATGTTTTTACGTAGAACATGCTCTTGCATATCAAATCTACTGAGGGACTCTTATGCAGGTGATTTGGGTATATATATATATATATATATATATATATATATATATATATATATATATATATATATATATATATATATACATATATATATATATACATTGCTCTGACAGAAGATGTCTTCTTTGTAAGCACAGCACTGACACAGACAGTTTTAGCAGCCCTGTTACAGGCCGCAGCTACAAAATACTAGGGAATTTGTCCTGTCAGATGACAACTGCATTTATCTCATCAGTTGCAAAGTTTGCTCCAAACAGTATATTGGTGAAACAGGAGATCTCCGCAGGAGAGTTAATAACCACCGCTCGACCATTAGGACCAAAAAACTCAATGAATGGGGAACATTTCAACCTTGAGGGTCACAAATGGGAGGACATGACAGTAGTGGTGATTGACCATTGGACAGATGCTCAGAGAAAAAGCAAAGAGAAGTTCTGGATGCACAGATTGAAGTCATTCCGCCCTAATGGCATTAACAAACTGAATGACTTCACCAGAATGAACGTAAACTAGACCCAATTCCTGATGATTGATTATTCTCTCAATTTAGTGTTAACTCTACTGTTAATTTGCGTCACAAACTCTCGGACAACCCACAAAAATATCTATTGTTTAAGCTTTTGTTAAAAAAAATTTTTTCCCGGTAATAAATCCTTAAATTTATAATGGATCATAATTCATATGTTTAAATATCCCTGCTATATTATTTTTCTTTGATTATTCTTTATTAAGTAAAGTTATGCCATTTTGAGAGAATGAAACACTGTGCGATTTACTGATTATCGTAATTGATTAGCATAATTAATGCGTTCAATTATCACAAAACTATTTATTGTTTACGCTTTTGTTAATTTTTTTTCCCGGTAATAAATCCTTAAATATTTCAAAATTTATAATGGATCATAATTCATATGTTTAAATATCTCTGCTATATTTTTTTTTCTTTGATTATTCTTTATTAAGTAAAGTTACGCCATTTTGGATAATAACAATATATCGTTCAATTATGTAAATATATATAGACCGGACGCATTTACATATATATCTTTATATGTTCTTAATATTTCCAATTCAACATGTAATTATATAAATATCTATATAGTTTAGTAGTAGTGCTAGTTCTTTGTGTTTCTCTTTTTCCTTTGTTTTTATGACTTTTTAACTTTTTTCTTTGTCCTGAGGAAGGGACAGGGCGTCCCGAAAATTTGACAATTTTTATTGTTCGTGTTGTTGGTCATTTTAGTGCTTATATATATATATATATATATATATATATATATATATATATATATATATATATATATATATATATATATATATATATAGAAGTATTGCATTGAAAACCACAGCATTGGTCTCCAAGAACTAGTGCAATTACATGTATCACCAGCTTATTAGAAGAACTGGCCCCAACAGGCAACATAGATATTGTTAATGAAGAACTCCAGCATCTTTTTGATATCAGCTTTAAGTACCTTTGTGGAATCAGAAAGATCTTTTAACTAATGCAATAGGTTAAAATAACGAGCATTGCTCGATTCCCCTAAAAAACCTTTAATAATATGTGAAGAAGGTATAAAACACAGATTTCTGGAAATTCCAGAGGTGAGACCAGGTTCCTAGGAGGAGTAAGCATCCCCTGTTGATTGGGCACATCCTATGAGAGCCCTATTAATTGATCACGAACACGGCACAGTTGAATGCCACAGCAAGTGTTGTTTTCTTCTGTTCACGTATAAAATTTTGACAAATTCTGTCTCATAAGAATACAGAAATAGGTCTGCTAATATGGTGTCCCAGATGGTACCCCCGGGAATTCCAATAGGTTGTTGGAAGACCTGGTCTCCAAAACCACATAGATATTGTCAATCAGAAACTCAAGCGTCTTTTTAATATCAACTTCAGAGTACTTGTGTGTACAATCAACATTTTTTAAACAAAATAATTTTGCAAATTACCAATGACAAGGTTGGTAAATTACGAGATCCATTTTTATTGAAAAATAATAATTTATTATCCATGATACAATGAAGCGCATTGAAGTGGTAAAATTTTCCGTTTGGATGGAACGTTTTGAGTTATCTTTAGAACGTTGATTGTCATGTAATGACACACCCATTTCTTTAGAAAGGAAAAACTCGGAGAATTGATTCATTAGAATACTTGTAATGGTATTCCATAAATATAATAGCCAATCAAATTGACGGTCTACATAAACACCGAGTAAGCACGTGTTCGACCGATACGTTGTCTTACAATGAAGCGCATTGAAGTGGTAAAATTTTCCGTTTGGATGAAACGTTCTGAGTCATGTTTTGAACGTCAATTATAATATAATTTCACGCCCATTTCTGTAGAAACGTAAAAGAAATATTCGTCGTAATGTTTAAGGACACCAACTCTTCGTGACAAGCAACACGATTACACCGAAATGGAGATTTTTAAAGTCATAAGAGAGATAATTAGAGAGTTCTCTCGCTTCTGTGAGGAATTTGTATATAATTATGAATTTATCATGTTTATTGGAGTTACCATAACACATGTATCGGTCGAACTCGGTGTTTATGTAGACCGTCAATTTGGTTGGCTATTATATTTATGGAATACCTGTTCCACAGTTATTCTAATGAACCACTCGTCCGAGTTTTTTCCTTTCTAAAGAAATGGGGGGTGTCATCATATGACAATCAACTTCTGAAGATAGCTCAAAACGCTCCATCGAAACGGAAAATTTTACCACTTCATTGTATTGTAACGCCAACAAACATGATAAATTCATAATTATGTACAAATTCGTTGCAATTACGTGTTTTACAGAAGTGGGGGCACTCTAACTCCTTCTTATAACTTTAAAAATCTCCATTTCGGTGAAACTTATGTCGCTTGTCGCGAAGAGTGGGGAACGTTTTATAGACAAGAACGGGAAAATTTTACTACTTCAATGCGCTTCATTGTACTTGTATCAAATACACTGACCTTAACTTATCGTGGTGAATCATTGTATATACGTAAAGTTGAAAAGTCAAGTTTTTATATGCTATTTGAATTTGGTAAAATTTTCTGATTTTGAACAAATTTTCTAATAGACTTGGAATTTTAAGTATCCAGATCTGATTTACACTTACAATTTTCAAATTATGTTGTTGCACAGTGCTACTGAAGTATCTCATCCACTACTGTCAATATTTTAGTGAGGATATTGAGCAACGTATACTCGGATATTCTACAGTAGACATTTAGCAGATTTCTGATCGACAACATCTATGTCTTCCAACAAACAACAGGAATTCACACAGGTTCTCATTGGTTGCTTAATTAGCCTTTTTAATGAGGCAGAATAATTTTGTTTCCTTATGAATCAATTCAAGTGAGAGTCATTTGCTTTCAGCTTCAATTCGACAAATACGTTTGTAGAGGTTTATGTGTAATAAAACACACAGTTTTCTTCTTGAGGCCTCTTAGTATGGAACTCTGAAAGTTAACCGTTTGCTTTAGTGTCTTGTTTACACACCAATCTGTTGTAATGTCTTTTGAAGACCAACGTTTTTCGTTTAAATTGTTAGGTCTTTATTTTCAAACTTAGATTTCTACATATTTCTTCATTAACTAGAACGGTACAAGGGACCAAGTGGTCGTGACCGGTGACAGGGGATGCTTTCCCCACTATAGCACCTGATCCAACATCTGGTGTTTTCAGAGGTCTGCGTTTGCTCTGTTCTTTATTTATATTGTTTATTTGATCTTATGTGTATGATATTACTGTTTGTTATATTTAACATTTTATACCAGAAGCGTAATTTTTTCTGTTGTCTTCCAATTTTTTTTTATTTGTAAAAATATAATTTACTATGCGTGAATTTTAATATATCTGTGTTTTCCTCTCTGTATTGAAGAAATTAAACACAAGTTATATTCTTAAAGCTCCTTTATTGACAAAATCTCAAAATTCTATTGGTTAGAATAATGCATTTTTCAAAACATAGAAACTTAAGATTTTTCTGCAAAACTCTTGCACACTCAGTTTATTACAACCAGCAAAATAGTATTTGATTGTGTTCATGTATGTCGCTATCAAAGACCTGGATCTATTGATTTCAGTACCACTTTTAAATCTCATCCCTTAGGCCTGTCGTTCAAAAGTAGTTTTCCACAAAAAATAGATAAATTTGAAATATCTAAACCACCATGTATCGTCTTTATGTACTTACATTACACTGTTATATAAACAAACATAAAGTTAAGTTCTGTGACATTATACATGGTTTACGAGGTATATACATGTATGTTTAATTTCCACTATTTGTAACTAGGATATTCTTCCTTTAGAATCCAGCTTGTACAGTAAGTATAAATATTGCTTAACTCCTAAATTATATTAATAAATAAAAAACAATGTCCATAAAAAGTGAGAAAAAATTTAAAACAAAAGATGCTTTCACTGACACAAATGTTATAATAAAACTTTCTGAAAATCACTCCAAAATGCGAACGACTATCTTATTTGCAAAAGAGTTACTGTATTTTTAATTGTAATTAGTCTATAAAACCAATGATTTTTTTGGAAAATAAAATTTATAGTCCTTTAATGAAATCTTTCACACAACCAGAGTCACATTTGTTCAAGTAACCATAATTATAGGTATGTTCTGATTTTAAAAACCATAGAAATTTAGCGCCATTTTCAATACATTCTGTGTCCTTTCCACACATTTCTATGACGTCACCACGGAAACCAGCGTCACATGTTGATTGACTGAAGGATAAAGTTTGTCCCTAAAAATGAAAATAAATGAGATAATAATTAATAACAAGAAGTTTATTGGATTAAGTTTCTTTTTTCTTCAACATTTTCTAAAACTATACTTACGCATGTGTAACAGATTTCGTGTCTATTGCACAGATTGTTTGCATCTTCGTCTATTTTCAGACCAGCCATTTTGGCAACAGAACACTGGGAAGTCAGATAATTAACACCAGGACAATTATCTGTAAATATTACAACCAGCATTTAAATACCATATTTGGAAATGAATAATTTTTTATTAGATATATGTATGATATTAAGTATTAACAGCTTTTAATATTTAAAATCGTCTGCAGGAGAAGAAGGAAGTACTTGCTGTTAGCTTCACTTTGACATTTAAGGTATATCAATGATTTTTTAAACAATTAACACCGGCTATTTTCAACTATAGGTTATATAATATATTCATATATCAGAAAGTTCCTCTTTTATAATATCATCCCATTCGTCATAACCAGTCTTAACGTTTCCTACACGATTTCAGAGATAAGCATTGCGATAAAGTGAATGCAACAGTCATAATTTGAAAGATTACTAGTACTTTTGGTGTATAAATAATGATATTTCTATATTTTTGTACAATGAAAAGTTAACGTTCTTCTGAATTTTATTAATGTTGACAGAACATATCCCATGTTTACAATACAAATACAAATACAAAATACAAATACAAATTTTTAAGATAACAAACATTGATTGAATTTAAAAGAAAAACTACTAGCAATACAAATCAATTAACATGGTATAGGAACGGAACTGCATAATTCCAAAGGAATCAAATGCCTAGTAATTATCCCCTGTCTACCGGTCATGTCCGTCGTCAGCCATGTATTGATCAGATTAATGGAATACAGTATTCTTAGTAAAATTTACTATAAAATGAATGGCCTTGGAATTGGAATTGGAATAAAATATATGTCAAAATTCCATCAAATGATCGATTTTATTTCCAAAAGGTCAATAAAACGACCCTATAATATAAGAAAAGCAACACATAATATATCTGAATTCTGTTCATTACTTAAAAATATGTGGGTTGTTAAATCTTCAAAAACTTTTTGAAAGTATAAAATCACAAAAAAATCCTTAATATCGAAAATTACGACTTTTCTACCGTCTGCGATTTTTTTCTTGCTACATTCTTCGTGGCAAATCAAAATCTAAATATTTTTTATCGTTTATAACAGCTTCTACAATAAAAAAAATGAAAATGGGAATTTTAACATTTTGTGATTGTGGAACAAAATATTACTTGTTTAAAATCACTCTGACGCTACACACAAGTACTCAAGTTCTGGTGTTAGGTGACCTAAAAAGCACTGAAGTTCATTGACAGCATTTATATAGTCTTCAGAGAATACGTTTTCCAACAAACTGCTGCAACTCCATTGGCACTAATTGTGCTATGGTACTAGTCGACCTTTTTATATTTTTCTCTTATTAAAAGCAAAATTTATTTTTAAACTTCTACAAAAGAGATAAGGAAAACACTTGTTGTGACCTTAGATTAACACCATCGGGACTCTGTCAAAAATGCTTCATTTTAAAATGTTACCTGACAATATATATAGACTAAAAGGACCAGCTTACCTTTATACTATATTTAAAAAGAAAGATTGCTTTAGATTTCCCGACTTTCCAAATTAATGTTGAAAGATTAAGCTGTTACCTGCATAAGGGGTTTATGTCTCACAACTTATTTTATATTCAAGAGCATGCTCTGAGGAAAACCATTTTCTAAACCGAGACAAGCTACTGCAGATAAGTTGATGATACAAAGATTTCAACAATATAGTTTGTAAAGCATTTTGTAAATTCTATGGTCGTGACATGTTCATCGACCTTGTTATGAAATAAAAGCTATAACTGGGTCGCATTTTTGCTGAGATTTTTTCATAGTTTTGTAGCAATGATAAAGTCTTTGTTTTAAAGCTTAAAATTTGACTAAGGGGTGTTCTGTCTACCTGTTAAATACTTATGGCTCAAGGCGGTTGGGACCGGTCAAAAGAAGATTTGACTCCTAGGCACCTGACCTAATCCAGCTCTGGGGTTTCCGAGGGTCTAATTTTTGTGCTTTGTTCACATATTTGTGTTGTTTGTAGAACTTCTTGAGATCAAGCACAATATATCTGATTTACTTTTTCATACTATTTTCTGCGTTGCAAATTTCAGTAGTATATTGCCATTGCTTTTCTTTTTACAAAAATTAAAATCGTGTTTTTCTTTTTTGCATAGAATCCAATTAAAAAAAAATCTATGGTATTGTTTGGTCAGACCATTTAGATAATCTCCTAAATTACGTATTGAGAGGTGTTATTGCTTGTTTTGGTTTTTTATGTTCATAGGTTATTTTATTTTTACAATGGGGAATTAATGTATTAGTATTACGATGAAATCAATGCCCAAAAGCCTTAACTGTACTTGAAAATATTGATTATTTGGGGTCACTGTACAATTATGACGAATATGAAAACAGACAGACGTTCCTATTAAGTTTATTGTTTCGTTAATAGGATTGCAAATGGACTCGTTTGTCGTTAAGTTAAGAGAATGGCTGTTCGATTCACTTAAACATGTTAACTGTCCTACAGATAATATTAATTTTTAAATTAGTAATTCATGTTGCTCATTGTTGTTAAATGAAATCACTCTATTTTTTGATATATATATTTGACTCAGCGCGAGAGATAAGACTTACTCTTTATAGGGTATTACAGAATATTTCGAAGTTTGATGTAGTGCCTCTTCCTTTCCTATTCATATATTGTGCTTGATAGTGAACACATACTTCATAAGAATCTTTTTTTAATTTTAGTTTTCGAGTATTTTACAATATACTAAACGTAAAGCCTTCAATATACCGGTATGACATAATATTACAAAATGTCTCATCATGGAAAATAATCAACTGTAACTAAATAGAAATTCACAGAAAATTCCGATCTTCATGAAATGTCTGTTAAGAGCTTTTCGTTTTTTCATGGGATTGGTCTACATGTGGACTACTTACTTTCATTAGATGGTACATCAAAGGGACCCTGATTAAGATATCCTTCCGCCAGTTCTCGTCTTTCTTCTGGGCTCAGGTTGGACACAAGTTCTTCAATGGCTTTTTCATTTTCATCTGCAAAATATAGCCGTGGTTCAGGTGATTTTTTAATTCAAATTGATGTGCAGTGGATCATCCTTTATAAACATACCTTTGTTTTTTCTTATAAAAAATATTGTCATTCAAGTTGTAAAAATTGATAGTAAGATAAGATCTATGCTTGTGAATGAGTCCCAATTTTAGGTTTGAAAGTGCTTTTTGTGCAAAATTTACTCACTCTTTTTGAGTTGTTGTTTGTAAATGAGAGCTTTTGCTGCAAACTCTCTCAATGTTTTGTCTGCGTCTGAAATCAGGACGAACCTGCCTATGTAATTTATCTTTAACTTATTTTTCATCTCAATAATAAGTTGGAGGGGGGCATTTTAAATCAGTAAGTGAAACATTAAACAGGTTGGGACCACTCGCCCTAATGGCACATGTATATAATATAGCCTGTATGGAATATAATTTCTCAGATGGAATATAAAATGAAAATTTTTATTTCGGAAATAAATATTTTTAAAAGGAAAAGTTTTTTGGGCAAGTTTTACTATAAACCTATAGTTAAGTAACTTCTGAGGGACCATTCAATCAACGGGAATACAGAAAAACTTGTCAACCAAAAGTTATTCCTTTATAAGTATCTTGATGCGGATATTGAAAACCAAAAACAATTTTTCATTTTTTGCACTGAAAATTTATATTCCATCTGGGATGTTATATCCCAAACGGGCTGTTATATTTCATTTGCACGGGTGGTCCCAACTTGTTAACTATCTCTTACCCCTCTCTTTCTCAGTCCCACCCTCTCTGAATTATATCATATTAAAGGATAAAAAATAGGTATTAGCTATAAGAATGAGGAAACAACTTCAATCCTTACCATCTTCATCTCCTCCAACATTTTCATCCACCGGATTCTCGTACCACTGATCGTTATTTGCATCATCGTTTGCCACCATTCCTGCCAAATTTCCTTGTCTTTTATCAACAAAGGGAATATTTTCTGCTACAATCTCTTCTTCCCCTTCCATGTCTGGTTCCTCCATTTCTTCATCCTGAGGTGTTCTAACCGCTTGTAACTGCTCTTCTACTCTTATCGCGTTTTGAATGTCTAGATACTCCTTCTTCAAGTTCCCCTCCGTGCCCTGTAACTGACCAAGTGTTGCCTGTTTAAGGGCAGATGCCAGGAGATCATTTTCCTTATCTTCTAAAGCTTCTGCAACTTTAAGACGTGTCACTTCGTCTCGCAGTGCTGCAACAGTTCTTGTTAAATCGAGAACAGTTTGGGATAATTCAATCTCAGAATCGTAATCACGTTTTTCCACTCGTTTCTTCTTTTTCTCCTTCACATTGGCCATGTTTTCATAGTGTGTGAGTTCTTGAAACCGTTCGCCCTCTGTCGGTACACTCCTTTCGGCTTTGCTGTCTTTTGCTGGTACTGGCGAGGGCTTTTCAGAAGAAACTACAGCTTTCGACTGATCGTCTTTATCTTTACTCTCATCTCCAAAAACATTTTTCAGTTCTTCTGTGCTGACCGGGGTTCGCTCTTTTTCTGCTGATTTTTCATCACTGTTGTCTTTTTCTGAACTCTTTTCAAACATTTCTTTCAAATCTGACTGCGATACTTTCTGCTTATAACTTTTTGGTGAGTGTCCTAAACCAGTTTCGCGTGTTTTGTACTCAGAAGTGGGACGGTTCGTGTATATCTGTCGCTTGTGAGTTCTTTCTGGGACTTTCTTATTGAAATCTCCAAATATCTCCGCCAGCTCAGCTCGCGAGGGGACGGTTCGAGATCCTTTGAAATTTCTTTCATCTACTTCATCGGTAACAAATGGTCTAACATCCTTCAGTGTGCTCTTATATGCATCTTGAAGCATCTCTCTGTCTAAAACATTCTCTGAAATAGGCTGTTCGGGGTAGTACTTCTCTAAATTAAGGCCATAGTTGTCATTTAACACGTTTAAATAAGACTCTGGAATTCTGTCTTGATTATCTAGTAAATAGTTGCGTAGATAGCCTATGTCGGATGTCTGTCTTTTATGGCGACGTAGGACAGCTAAGGCGGCCGTAAGATCATCGGAACTCCTCGGTGAGCGTCTTTTGATGGAGAGAGATTCCGTTTGAGGCGATGTAAACATAAGTAAGATGGCGGCGAAACATATTGTCTCCATGGCACTTAATATTCTTACCTCAGTTGGAATGCTGAAAGTAAATAAAAAATTGATAATTTTTTTATCAAGTTTGTCTAATTGTATTAAAATTTTTAGAGCAACATTGTAAGGTATAAAATTTAAAACAGTAATTTTTATACTTTTAAGGATGTATATGGAATGTATGCTGAAATTGCGGGAACTTGTCATTTGAAGAAAATTATATTATATTAATACTCTTTGTAAAAGCGTGGGTTTAAAAACATGTCTCCCAAATTGGTTAATACCCGCATATATGCTTATTTATATGCTTATTTGTTAATATGGTGGCAAAACGTGAATGTAGTTGCACTAATATATATTGCTATGACCACTAGAAGATAAATAAAACTGTAAATACGTTTATTGACTAAAATGCCAGATGGTAGAGGTTATAATATACCGTTGACTTTTAAAACTCATGATGTAAGTAGACACGTGTTATTCCAATGTATGAAGACACGTGTTATTTCAATGTAAGAAGACACGTGTTATTTTAATGTAAGAAAGACCGAAACTATAGTTTAAAATAAAGCTTTTATTTTAAAAGGGGGATTCTAAATCATTAAAAAAAATCACTAGAGCGAATGAAAAAGGGAAAAATGCTAAAATAAAAAAATATTTATATCATGACAGATACTGCATGTATTTTAGTCAGGGCTGTTAAAACATTAAGGGTTATTTTTTCCACTATGAATTTATGCTTTATAGAATAGTTTTGTTTGTTTGTTTGTTTTTTCAATGTCCCTTTCGAACATGCATTTTTCACTCTTATTGAGACCCTTCCATTTGCCAGTGGATGGATGCGAATTTTAGACCTATATAGTCGGTACTCAGGGCCATTGAGCAGAGAGGGATCTTTTTGTGTCATCATCTAATGCGTCACGGAACTTTGGGTTATACGGTCTCATCCGAAAGGATGACTTTTTAACCTTACAGTTTGTTTTTTCAAACAGCCACATTTTCCGCCTCATAAATTTTGCATGAACTTTCAACAATTTAATTCAAGATTTAAAACACAACATTAAACAATTATCATCCTTAATAGAAAAAGATGTTGCTTAATGGTTTTATAATTCATGGATATTAATGGCTGCATTAAATGTCTGTTTTTAAATTTTGTATATAAATATATTTCAATATTTTTTTTTGGATTAAAGGATCCATTTTGTTTAAATTTCAATCAAATCTTTGTGGTAAGAAATAAGAATTTGAAGTTTTGACTAGTTAACATTGTGTGTTTAAGTGCAACATGAATATGCCACATTTTTTTGGATCTAGAAAATCACGATCTTCTAATTAAAATCACATTTTGTTTGCGTTTTTATCTTTAAGGTACCCATGATAAGCTGAATCAGAAAAGAGAAATAAGTTGAAAGAACACTAACTTTCTGACATCACAAGATGAATACATCCAAATGACACGCCACCAACTATATCAAAGACTTGTAGTTACAGGGAAATATAAATAGGAGCTTTTTTGCATATGCCCTTAAGAAATCTCCTAATCTTTATTGCTGTAATTACAAAATAAACACTCGCATCAGATTCTGCAATCAATAATGTAGCACTTTCACCGCTCTTTATTATGTCAATTTGATCCAGTAATTGTCGGATAATTAAAACAAAACACCGGAAACAAGAAATTGACGTTAATCTCATAATTTTTCTTATCTTGTATGAATAGACTGATTAAATGTCAAATGTTCAATACAGGTATTAAGAAAATCAAATCGGCATCGTGAAAGATCACTTTATTGTAGTAAAGAGAATAGTAATGTTGTACTTTTTAAAGGTTGTAGTTGATAACTTGGAAAATTCCCGGAATGATGTTTAGCAAAGACGGACAACTATTGCTTAAAGTGCATAGCGACACCGTATTTAAGATTATGGGTTTTCCAGAAACATTGTTCCGGAAGAAACTTGTCCCCTCAAACAATTATGCTTAAGATCGAAGCTAATTAAGTGTTAATAAATCAGTATACATTTATTTTTACTTTCTGCAACAAAATGAAGTAGAAAAAATATGAAATCATACACATTTATTTTAGAAATATGTGTATATGTTAAATAATAATTGTGGAAAAGAATTCTATTCTAAGACAGGCGTTTGAACCCACAATCGTGAGCTACCTAATGTCAATTTGTAAGATATTTATTGCAGTTTAGGATATTATTCTACTAATAAAACTTTTTTTGACCATATTTTATGGACAATAATTTTTGTCAATGGGATAGGATACAATTTAGTTATAATTATTGAGCTACCTAATGTCAATTTGTAAGATATTTATTGCAGTTTAGGATATTATTCTACTAATAAAACTTTTTTTGACCATATTTTATGGACAATAATTTTTGTCAATGGGATAGGATACAATTTAGTTCTGATCATTTAAGTGGTCCTCTTGAACGATTCACATAAAATTTTAAAACTCATATACATGTATCATAACCATTGTGTTAATCATCTTACTTACAAATAAACCAACAACAAAAACAATGGGAGGAAAATCGAATAAAACGTTATTAAATGGTAAAAATATAATTATTATTGCTGAAATATTCAGGAGTAGAAAGTTGACTGCCGATCCTTTATTATACAATGTAGTATTTACTCTATGAATACTCTATACAACATAATTATTACCTCTCCCTGTCCGTTCTATCGATATTGCAAAAGAACCACATCAACCTATATTACTTAGTACCTTATTAAAACACCTGTTGTTACTATGGATACCATGGTCACGTGATTTCTTACGAGTATACGAGTATTCCTGTAATTATATCTACATGCATGCAGTAAACTGTGTAATATTTCTATCATTTTTATAACATGAAGGAGTCTTACAAAAGAAGAATTATAATTATCATTAGAAAGACAATTACCTCCTTACGCGATTTCTTTTCTATATAAGAAGTAGGTGTACACAGTGTCTCAAATATATCCTGCTTAACGACTTTTAATAACAATTTTATATACATGTAATATTTAATTAGGTTCTTATAGAAATATGCTGAGGATGCTAATGCGCCTTATTACAGATTACTTTCCATGGCATAGATACCAATCTGCTGATTATTCACTGAATTATCTGGATATAAATTCGAGATTATCAAAATTATATCATTTGTTATTTTTCCCCTTCAATCTTCTTTACCTAAAAATAAAATACTTTATCAATATATATTAATACATTAGAATGATTAGAAGTAAAGAAGTAAAATTAAGTTATTTAATGTACTCAATATACCTCATTTATGATAAATGGGTTTTTTCATAAAAAGTTTTAAATGTTAAGATAATGGGCAGGGATCATCTTTAAAAATCCTTTTAAATGCTAAAATATAGTAAAGACCAACATGAACCCCTGAAAACAGAGGTAGGATTAAGAGCCATGGAAGGGTAAGCATCCAACACTGACCAGTCACATCCGGAGGCAATTCATTGTGAAAAATAATGGCCTTACAATTTGCCTTACAATTTTTAGGGAAAAAAATTGTAAGACTATATTCCATTTAACAAAAGATTATATTTGCAAACAATATTATTGTATCATAGAATTTGAAAATACAGACTTTAAAAGAGATTGTTGTTACATCTTATTTATCTACCGTCTCTTTCCAATTAGTTTTAGATAACATTTGTACCCAGAACACGGTTTCGCCAGAAGACAGAAATTCTATATGTATGTGATACTGCATATTGCTACAAAAAAAAAAGAGAGATCGTTGGCGATAGAAAAATTGCAGTCATCACGTGTACTTTAGTTTGACATTTATCTCTCTCTTTAATATAACATCCCAATATGAAAGGTGTGACATACTCTGTGGTATCATGTATTTTGAGTACTGTGGGATAAGGAATGAAACTGAATATTGTTAATTGATAAAACTTTCTAGACACATCTAAATTATGAATTGAAGGACACAGCAAGAATATTGTTCTTTTCATGTAGAAGTTTTAGAATAAATTTTGGTTCATATAAATAGAAAAACAAACAGGTCTCTTAATAACAAGTCAATTTTACTATTAGGAATTCCAACAGATCATTGGAATGCCTGCTCGAAATCTACACATATATAGATACCGTCAATGTGAAATTCTGTTCACTTTTAATTTTTGAACGAAATAATTGTAAGTGACCAATGACAAGGAATGCAAAATTAGGAATTCCATTTTTATTGAAAAAGATTTTACTAAAATTTCAAAAAGAAAAGAGTTAAAAGGTATTGCGTTTTGATGCTTTTGATTTTAGCTAACTTTTTAAAGATTTGAATGTTATTGGAATTCCTACGAGTGGTTTGTGTTTTTTAATATTAACATCCTTATCACTGTCATCGAATATTCTTAATTCTGAACAAAGCAATGCATGGGATACTTAAGTTAAAATCATATTTAACAAGAAGGTGAAGATACATATATACAAAATGTTTATTCTTGTGTTTATATATAACATAACAGTGGGGACAGATCACATTCACACTAAATAAATTCAAATTCTGTTGAATAAACGTGAAGAACCCTTTAAATCATTTCATATTTTTCATGAAAATGGATAGAAACGAAGACATAAGAAAGCTTCAGACCCCCTTTTGCCCTATAAATATCAATGTAAATGTATCACAAATTACATCACAAAATAAGTTTTATTTCAAATTAATATTACTGATTAAAGTAAAGACAATTATCAATACATTTTAGTGGTAAAACAAAATACAAACTACTGGCGACTATTTGGTTGTATTACAGACTTTAAACGTCAAAACATGTTAAAATTGCAGAACGGACCGGGTTCGATTCTAATTCAAACGCGTTTATAATTAAACATTCAAAAGGCTGAGGAAAATCAAAAGGACTTATAGATCTGTTCTCTAAAATTGCACTTCTGTTGTTGAAATTCAAAAGAATTTGTTTGCAAATAGCATTGTATTGATCGACTGAGGTAAGAGCCTGAATTGCCCGACCATTTGCATTTATATTGGCAAAAATTATTCAAGAGAAATCATCTATCTTATAACACCAAATGCACCGAAGGATGTGCTCCAATTTATCATTACGGAGAAATAGCTCCATGTTTTGCCTGTTTCCTGGTTATGTCCACAATATGACATATAAATTCCACGGAGCTTTCCAATGTTTTTCTCATTTCTGTTATTTATTTTCGACATTTTGTGAAGAAATACTTGGCGTGGAAGACAACGACTAGCGTTGTTTCTTCAACCGAGCTTTTTTCGTGATCTGCCAAAGATAAATGAGTATGGCTCACACTAATGTGTTTCTTTGAGCAAATGAAAATGTCATTCAGAAGGATTGAAAAGATATGGGGAGTTTTAACAGTCGGAAAACACAAAATATTAGCAATGATATTGTATGCAGTTAAGAAATACATATAGTATATGAAATATGATTTTGAACATAAATCATGGTCAAAAGACAAATTAAACAATACAAATAATTAGCAGTACTAGTACAAACAAACACCTCTAAAAACTCACGATGAGGATGTATGTTGTAAATGAAAAGAATAATTCAAAAATAGAATGTATTTCAAAATTTCTGGTGATGTTTCACAACTTTTGCACTGAAAGTACGAATTATTCATTCTTGTAGAACGTACGTGCGCATTCAATGTTGATTTCTCTTATTAGTTCCTTTATATCTTTAAACATTTATAAATTCTTAGTTTAAAACTAATTATTGTCACTTTTCCCCTGTCAGAAATAAATTGACTTTAAAAGTAAAATTCCTTATCAAAACCCGAGAAAATTCAGTTAAACAAAAGTACATAGTTTCTTATTTTGAAAAATTGGATTTTTATTTAAATATTTGCAACTTTTTTATAAATTTATCAGGAATCTATTCTACTTTTAGAGTTGGAAATTTGAAATTTGAAAAAGCATCTTTAAAATAAATCAATTGTTCATATACTAATTGCTTAGAATTTGTCAACAAAACATTTGTAGAAAATGACAAGTCTCGAAGCCTTTATACAACAGAATGTGTTACGAGTCTAAGGAGGAAATTCAATTTGTGATTTTTTTTTTCATTGAAACGCAATTTAATTGTTTGAAAAAAGAGAATTTTTTTACCAGACATAAAACTATGTCAAGGTAAAGGCTGTGCCCTTCAACAGAGGTCATTTGACGCCGTGACAAAAATACCCTCAATGATAAAACAAATCAAATAAACAATACCACAGACTTATTCCATTTTACTTGGTATGGTTTCCGTGATGAGATTAGACCGAGTGAAAGATTATATAAACTGATAAAATACATCAACACCATTAACCAATGCATCAAATGACAATGTTAATCCGATAAAGTTATTAATATTTCAACTCGTTGTTGTCTACAGGTTATTTTAAATATCATACAGTTATTACTTTTCCACAAATTAACAAGAAATATTCCTACTTTTTTTTATCTGTCTCAATAAAGTGCGATCTAGAAACCAAGATTTATTGCGGTTTCCGTTTATCTGTCTGTAGTTTAGAATACCAATTTAAAACCAGCATTATTGGAATTCATCATTATGTTCCCAATCTCGAAACTACGCACATTATCTCAAAATTGGAAAAAAAAATCATTTTCTTTGATAAACGATACCTTTCAAGGATGTGGTTTAATTTTTCACCAAGGATATTAGGTTTTGCGAGATCAAAGTTTATGACAAAATAATCAGAAATTGAATTTCAACTGATGCGAATGTGAGTTTTTGTTCGACTGAAATCTGCATATATATACCCTAGAGTATTTGTGGTTTCGGAGTTCTAACAGAACACAATATAACTTAGGTTAGAGTGAAGGTATTTTTAACCATTAATTTGCTTCATAGCAATGATTATAGTTTGGTATAACAATGTTTTACATTTTTAAAGAGAAGACAATGCCCTTGTTAGCAAATACAATCTATCGTTAAAATGTTGACTGATTTTTCATGCAGATTGTAAAGCCAACATTTTCATCCCGTACTGTTCACTTTTTTCCACCACAAGGAGCTTACAGTAAGTGTGAAGCGTGAACAGGGATTGCTTTATACTTCTCATGTTACCTGATTCCACCTCTGATATCTTAGAACTGTTTCAATACAATTTGAGCTTGATTACCGTTCGATATATCTATAGTCATTCAAAGTTATCAGAGCAAGAAAATCCCATTATTTAGAGTACAGATATCCATACAGGTAAACTTCGTTATCTCGACATCGACGGGACAGTCAGAAAATGTCGAGATATCCGAGGTGTCGAGATATCAGAGTTGAGACTCGATGTCCTTAATTTTACTGCATAGCAAAACCATAGACTTAAACTGAACAGACGTATAACTACAGGTACCTACATGTCTTCAATTAGACTGTAGCTCGTTTGTTTCAGCTATCCCTCTATATTTATTAGAAAATCTAAGAAGTTACATGTATTCACAAATGTCATTTATGAAATGCTTTCTTTTTATCGAAATATTCTCATTTTACTAAAAACCGTTTTCCATCCAGCATTCAGTCCGCGTGCCACTAGCTCTGTCAGAACAGGAAACGAAATGCGCTCTATAAACTCCAAACCGGAACGGTACAAAGTCGACTTCCGACATACGGAAAAAAATTAATGCGTATATTTTTTTAAAATTATTTCACTTCACTTCTTTTTTATTTCATAATCATTCATAATTAATATTCATTTCATTTTCAAACCAAAATTAAATTGGAATTGCGCATTTAACAAACTTCATGATGTTACATATGCATCCATATTACGACTGATGCAATAGTCGTGCGTGTCGTAGATTTGATTGATTCCTGTAAAATTCATTTTTACCCCAATTTATAAGTTAAATTGAATTCATTGTGTATATTGTTCCTTGTTATTTAGTTTTTTATAAAATGTTTAATTCGATATAAATAACGGCTCTATATTTACGCAGAATCGAAGATTTATCAATGATATTACCCAAGCTATACATTAAACAATTAACGTATTAGAGACGCCGAGGGGGCTTGGGTTTCCTCTACGAACGGGCAGTATGTAGTCAAAACATAGGTGTGAAAGGTGTGAATTTCTGACGACGTCGAGATACACGGAGTCGTCCGTGCGTGACGAGCGACCAGCTGACAAACAATTTGGTTAAGTAGAGTAGAAAATTGCCCCGATGTCGACATATACCAGGTAAATTTTGCTCTTGGGACTGTGAAATACGTCGAGATAAGCGGGGTAGTCGACATTACCGAGGTCGACATATCAGAGTTTTTGCAAATCATTTATATAGTAAATAATGCCTGGACCGCGGACGGACGTCGACATATCCCAGGTTGTCGACATATCCGATGTCGAGATACCGAAGTTTACCTGTATTTTCAATTAAACAACGAATCTTTAGCGAAAACTAAAGATAATTAAGCAAAAGTTCTTTTAAGTGGGGATATTGTAACATGTGTAAGGGGTTGGAAAAGAAAATTAAGACATTTCCAATAAATAGCAAAGATATGTAAAATTCACACAATCTGCATGGATGTACAAAAATATTTTTTCTGTCTGTATTTATTATACGATATATGTCTCTACAACGAAATATATGGAAACAACAAACAATATATTCAAGTCCAAAAATCCATTTAAAAATTGAAAATAGGAGCAGAGCAAACACGGACCTCCAAAACATCAAAACATTTGCGATAAAATGTTGGAATTAATGAATGAAAAAGGAATGGAGTTCGAAAAATAAACAAAATAGAACAGAAATGAATAAAATAAATCTAGCAATGAAGTGAGTCAAAAAATGTTTTGATGACAACTTAGAAACGAGGGAAGGCGTCATCAAAAACGTTCAATTTCCAATCTAAAGTGAAAGATTTTATCGGCAATGAATAAGATAATAAGATTGGTGGGTCGATGTAATTAACTTACATAGTATTATTACCATCGATTCTTCTTGAACGCCTTCGACAAAGAGCTAATGATTTTGAACCCGACTAACCCCAAAACGACTACTCGATAAAGGAATGACGTGAAAATCATGCAAATACACAAAGAACCATTTTTATTTTTTTTTTTTGAAAAATGAAGTATTTGCTTAAAAGCTTATATTGTATTTTAAGCACGACTTAAAAACAAGTGTTTTAAAGAGCGCTGCGAAGAGAGCCATATCGGGAACGAGGTGCTCAAAATATTTAAATGAATAATGACGTAAATATGAAGTTATATATATTTTTTATTGATGCCCCTTCAAATAGAAAAAAGATTTATTTTAGGGAGTAATTGCAAAATAGCATACCTGAATTATTTCTTCCGGCGCAAATATCTAACATGACTTGAGAGGATTATGAATTGCCTTATTTTGCACACCGTAAATATCAGTTTTGAGCAACATTCGGTCTTATTATCAATTTTGGCACAGATTATTGGCTTTAACAGTAGTATTGTTAAGGAAACAAGAGGAAAACTTAATGTCTTTAAATCGCCTTATGTGGGATGAAATATGAACTGCGAAAATAAACTATATTTATGGTGTTTTAGGTACAAAATAATGTTTCCTCTTCAAAAAACTCACAGAACAAGGCATTATAGAGACCATGATGACAAAATAACCAATTTTTTTTCCAGAGCAATCCTATAAACTTTAACTGAGACAGAAGAGCAGTACCATGCAATGCAGTATGTCATGATGGTGTTTAAGAAATTTTTCCTTAATTAAAAGGTATATAGTATAATATCATTTATATAACAGATACATCTCCAATCAAGAGAAATAAAATTGGAATATCAAAATTGAATAAATATGATTCAGAGGTAGCTTATCAAGCGCTTCAGAATACCATTAGACATGAAAAATTAATCCAACGATAATTAAAGGAATTTATTGCAAAACTAGGCACAATGACATTTAATTTACAGCATGTAAATAAGATACTTTACCATTCAACAGTGTTAAGCTCAAAATTTATTTTAAGAAGTTTAAGTGTCCTAATAACGATACAGTCTTAAACTACAAATGTAAAAGTAAAAAAAAAACTACATATGTTAATATTTACACATGTACATATCCTGTAATTATTTACGTTTATGAAGTAAGCATATGGCCTTTAGGTCTTCTCTCCATAATATGTATTACAAAGTGAGAACACCGAAAAAGCTTCACGTGAAAGTTTTATGTT